AGGACGAGTCAGGGTCATAGATTTTACTGTTTGTCTTTGATCTTAGGTGCATTTGCCATTCACATTTGCCATTCATAACTACAGTGTTTGTAATTGTGCTTAAAAAAATTCTCCTGGGTCTGAACCTGGTGTGGTAGCCTAGTGGCTGAAGTCCTTGCCTTGCCTGTGCCAGAATCCCATGTGGGCACCAGTTTGTATCCCGGCTGTTGCACTTCCCATCCAGTTTCCTGTTTGTGGCCTGGGAAAGCAGTTGAGATTGGCCCAAAGCTTTGGGACCCTGCACCTGCATGGGAGACCTGGTAGAAGTTCCTGCCTCCTGGTTTTGGAAGAGCTCAGCTCTGGCCATTGTAGCTGCTTGGGATGTGAATCAACATACGGAAGATCTTTGTCTCTCCTCTCGGTAAATACAATTTTCCAATAAAAATACCAAACGCAATTAGAAACAAATTATTTTTGTAAATAACTTTGTATTTAGCAGTACAATGAAAATGAACTTTTTCATGGTTAACAAAATGAAACACATTACTAGTTGGAAGCTAAGAATCATTTGGCTAGTCCTCTAAAAAGACCCAGCAGAAAACAAGCAGCAGCTCATAGCCAGCCCTGGGTAAACTTGCTGATGTGGAAACCACGAGTGCCACGTTAGCATCTCACAGCCATCAGCCCAACATAAAGTCTCACGCACATCACTTGAACAAAAAATAGTCTGAAGTTCATCAAAGGTCCATTTTAGAGTTTTAAATTTGAGTTAACAAATTTGTAAAAATATAGTACAGTATTGGTAGGTGCATGCTCAAGGTTGCACAACACATCTGCAGAATTTACTCATCGTACACAGCTGAAACTTCCTGCTCATCGAAAAACTCTACGTTTGCCTTGGCCTTCAGCCCCCAGTGATCACCATTCTACTTTCTGCTCTGCGAGTTTCACTATTTTGGACACTTCGTGTAGTAGGAATCATAAGTTCTGCTACTGACTTGTTTTACGGAGCATATTGTCCTCAGGGTTGATCCGTGTTGTCACAAATTGCAGGATTTTCTCTTGCTCTTTAAAACCTGAATAATATGTTGCTGTGTGAGCATTACAACAGTTCCTTTCTCTGTTCCTTAGTGCACAGACATTGAAGTAATTTCCATGTCATGACTGTTGACAGCCATGCTGCTATAGTTCTTGTGGTATGTGGACAATTATAAACACCAGTGGTCATCATGATCCAAGTGATTTTAGGTAGAATTTTTTTTCTTTGTCTTGAGATACATTAATTGCCCTAATTCATTTGTTTTGAGTGGGTTCAATAGCACCATTTAAAAAAAATCATTTGTGTTTCCTAAGGTAAAGACAAATTAATGTTGGCCTTTAAGTGGTTTTCTAAATTTGTGTGACTTAAAAAAGAAAGTGTTACTCTCTTTTTGGCAAAAAAAAAAAAAACACTTGAGAACAGTTTCTCCTTTAAAATCCATGCTTGATTTTGTTGAAAATAGGAGTACTTGTGGAACAAGCTATTGCTTATGGATGGCTCTTTTAACATGATAGTGGTCTACTGTTAAAACTGAGCTCTCTTAGGACTGGCATTATGGCATAGTGGGTAAAACCACCATCTGCAGTGCTGATGCCGACATCCCATATGGGTGCTGGTTCAAGTCATGGCTGCTCCATTTGGGAAAAGCAGAGAAATCCACCCAATGGGAGACTCAGATGAAGCTACCCCATTTCAGATCCAGATCCCTGCTAATGACTTGGGGAAGCAATGGAAGATGGCTCCATTTGGGCTCCTGTAACTATGTGGGAGAAACAGAAGTTTTAAGCTCCTGGCTTCAGCCTGGCTCAGCTGTGACTGTTGTGGCTATCTGGAAAGTAAACCAGTAGAGAGAAATCCAGTTCAAAATCCAGTTCAGCTGTTTCCTTTTCCAGGAGATCAGACCTTATCTCTTAGCCCTAGATAATTCTCTTTTGGACTGCAGTTTCATTATATATTTTTGTACCTCCTGTAGGTCTAAATTGGACCTTCAAATATAAATATTTGTATTTCTTTCCCCTACTAAAATGTAAGCACCTTAGGGTATTAACTGGTAAACACACAGATAAACACACCAGATCAATTGTTGAATATCTACTTTATCCAGAGTACTGTATTATAAAGTATGGAAACATGACTGACAACATTTTATTCCTCCTAGTGCCTAGCCTTCCTCTTTTTGTCTCTTAAATTTTTATTTGTTATTTGCTTTTATTTAAACGTCTGATCTTTCATCTGCTGGTTCAGTCCTCAAATGCTGTGGAAACACAGGTGTGGCCTATGCCCCGGGAAGGCAGAAGCCAGGAACCCCATGCAGATTTCCCATGTGGGTGGCAAGGACATAAGTACTTGGGTCATTACTTGCTTGGTCTCAGACTGCAAACTAACAGGAAGCGAGAATCTGAAGGAGAGCTGGGATTCAAACCTAGGCTCTCATATTAGGGCTGTGAGTGTCCTGGGCAGGGCCTGAACCTCTTCATCAAACGTGTATCTGAACTTTGTTCTTTTAGATCCTATTTTACTCCTTTTTCCTTCCTACTTCTCATGCTACTACTTCACAGTGTATCTTTTTTTTTTTTTAAAGATTTATTTATTTATTGCAAAGTCAGATATACAGAGAGGAGAGACAGAGAGGAAGATCTTCCACCCGATGATTCACTCCCCAAGTGAGCACAATGGCCGATGCTATGCCGATCCAAAGCCAGGAGCCAGAAACTTCTTTCCGGGTATCCCAAGGCTTTGGGCCGTCCTCGACTGCTTTCCCAGGCCACAAGCAGGGAGCTGGATGGGAAGTGGAGCTGCCAGGATTAGAACCGGCGCTCATATGGGATCCTGGGGCGTTCAAGGCGAGGACTTTAGCTGCTAGGCCACGCCGCTGGACCCTTCACAGTGTATCTTACCCATTCCCTTAATAACCTTTGAAATACTATAGATATTTGTGGCTTGGTGTACACCCCTTCTATTTATTCTCATACATCTAAAATGTCACCTTAAAGTCATTGTCTCTCGTTATTATATCTCTAGTTCAGATATTTCTTCTGAACAAGACCTTGCTTCAATTGCTTTTGAATTCCCTGTGCATCAGAAAGTCCTGAATTTTTCCCTCCAAATGTGTTTTTACTTTCTGGTAAACATTTTCACCCACCTAGCTGGCAAGGCAAAAATCTTACAGTCAGGCCTTCCACGTTGAGCTCCTTACCACGTTTGGTTGATTCTGCCTCCAAAATGTAATCCCCTGGACTCTGCTCTCTAGGGCACGTTCCCATATGCCAGCCCATGTGGGGGCATAATTGGCGCCTTGGGCTTACCACACAGTCATCACAGAATCCATGTAAAATTACAGAATACGTCTTGCCTTACAAATTCCTCCTTAATTCTCACTATTGGTAGGACAGGATTCAGAAATCCTCACCATGGCTTCAAGACTGTCCCCTCAGGGCTTCTCCAGCCCTGCCTCATACCACTCCTTCCCTTCTGTAATATGTTAACAGTAGCATTCATTAAATCCCAGAGAGTTGTTGAGGGTTTTTGAAGACAACCCTCACCAGAGGAAGTGCCACTAACCCTCCCTGTCAGTGTACACCTCATTTCCTTCAATAAGCTTTACCCACCCCTCACTCTAAATTAGGCCCCACTTCCCTTTGTCTGCCTCTGAGTGTCCTGAACTCCTCCTTGTAGAAAATAATAGCTGGTGTAGTGTGGTATGTTGGCTTAGTATCTGGCTTTCTACTGTTCTGTCAAAACCACAAAGAGCAGGGGCCATTGCCTCTTTTCTTCACAGTGCAAACCCAGGACTAGACACACAGTGGAAAGTCAACAGACACTTGAAGGAAGATTAAAATAAATAGAAGATAAAAATTGAAGAAGACACTGAAATACTGTATTACAGGATATGTGAAAACTTAAGGCTCTAACTTGACATATGAAGTAGGTTATTGCCACACATATGATGACCATAGTGCATGGTTAAAGCAGAGTGCTACTTTTCTGATATGGACAATTTCAATATTGTTATATATATATATATATATACACACACACACACATATATACTCTGTGTGTCTGTTTGCTGCAACAATGTGGATTGGAACTTTGAGAAGTTCCTCGTGGGCCCCGACAGCATCCCACTGCGCAGGTATAGCCCCCAGTTTCGCACCATCGACATCATGCCTGACATCCCAGCCCTGCTGGCCTTGCCCACTTCCTGGCTGTTGGGCAGTGGCCCACTGCTCTATGGGAGTTTCATCCATGAGTGCATTCCTCCTAAAATGTGCATGGAGGAACAGAAAAACAGCAGAAAAAAGAAAACAGAAAAAAAAATGTATTGATCAGCTGCTGTTGGGTCCTGTTCCAGACGAATGGGCTGTATAATGAGCTTCCTTTCCATGGGAAACAGCTGGTACACAAGAACACAGAGAACCTGGGGTCCTGAAAACTACTGCCAGCTGCAGAAAACAGTAACAGCACAGGGAAGGTAACTACGGCAGGACTGTCTGAGCTGACATGCAGATGAGAAGGAGTCAGTTTCAGTTAGAACCTATGGGAAGAACTTCCAGGAGGAGGAACAGAAAATACCAAAGTACTGAGGCAAGCATCAGCCGGGACACCCAAGAACGGGGCTGTGGCCAGGAAAGCACTGGGTAAAAAGCAAAGAGCACAGGCTTCTAGAATTAGAGCTTCCATGGCTGGAAGCTCTGACTGCTCCCCCTCCTTATTGGCTGTGCATCACGAATTGGAGACCCTGTTGATGACCAGCACATTGGGATTTTGCTAAATAAAATTATGAGCTGTAAAAAAAATAGTCATCATAACACCATTAATAATCTAAACATAATTCATAGATATTCCACAGAATTTATGTGATGGAAAAACTGGCCAACTATTTACACTAATGGATTATGTTTATCTGTTTACTAATTTCTCAAAAACAAGTGTGTTATTGCAATTTACAGCCATTAACATTTCCATTGATTTCTTCTAAAAGGTGAAAAAGCTGAAGAGAGAACTCTCACAGATGAAGCAAGAACTGCTCTATAAAGAACAAGGCTTTGAAACATTACAACAGTGAGTATAAAAGTACTGAAATTGACTTTAGAATGAGTAAAAGTTCCATAGCAAATCAAAGAAAATGGAAGTATAGATGGTACAAGAGAGTTCTCAAAGAAGCAAAGTAAAAAACTCAAAATTCTGCATCAGAAATTAAAAACAAAAAAAGTCAACCAACAAACATAAAAAATTAGGAAAATCCTGTACACTTTGAAAAAGTTTGAAGTATTAGTCACTGGCGAGCCAAAGAAAATAAAATGAAAAGTGCGCTGCTCTCTCCTGGATCCCTGGCCAGCTTCCTTTAAGATGTGGAATGGCATGGGGAGTGTCACTTCACATTCTACCCCAGAGACAAGGTTAGGTGGGCTGGACTTGACCCTTTGTGAGCCCGCAGCTGCCCTAAGCCCTTGAGTGGAGGCCTTGGACTACCCTTCTGTCAGCCAAGGCACTGTCCAACCTGGGCTGGGCTGAGCTCAGGGGTGTAAGAACAAGGTAGGTGTTGGCGAAGGGGCAACAGCATACTCTGCTCTGTCCTGTCCAGGTTGGTACTGAAATCTTCGGGTCAGCAGCATAGTGTCTGGGTGGGTTAGGTAAAATGCTGGCTGCCAGGGGAGCTGAGCCTCTGGAAGGCCCTGGTGTCCCTGCTGGTGGGGCATGGCCATCAGTGGTGAGACACACAGGGGCTTCCCTTTCTCACAGGACCTCTCATAGGGGACAGGAAGTCTCAGGCCTTCACAGCCTCATGCCCACAAGAGGACCAGAGGTGACCCTCCCCAGAGGTTCTAAACTGCTCTGTGTCCCTCCCATGGTACCCCAGCCCAGAATTTCCAGGGGTTTCCCTGGTTAGTTTCATGCTCATATAGCCCTGGTTCTTCCCCCCAGCAGCAGCAGCACCTCAGAGATGCAAAGCAGGTTTCAGAAGCTGACTCTGGGAACACCACCCAGCTCCATCCTGCTTCCCATGCAAACCTATTCTGCTTTCTGCTTAGGAAATCTGGGACAATTCCAGGCAACAGACCCTACCTCATTAAAGCTTTTGGGTGTCGCTGACTGGGTATAGCCAAGCTGCAGGCAGTTGTTGTGTGGCTGGACACTCTGGGGATACCCGGTCACTGCTGCTGACCGCCCCACCTCCTGCCAGCCAGGCACCCAGTTTCAGATCCTCAGCCTGCCTTTTTAGCTTACTGCCCCGAGTGATCATCACCCTGATACTCTTTTAGGTGCTGTTCTTCCAGGCGTTCTTGACTTCCTATGAGAGTAATTTGGGGGAGCTTTTAAAAATCACTGCCTCTGCTCTCCACTGGGTATGTCTTAGGAGATCACAGGTGATTTTCAAAGTGTTCTAAGAAACTGGTTCTTACAGAGTTCTGCTCATTCCCTCCCAGACCTAGAGTGATCTAAATATGTTATTTAGTAACTGGGTATCAACAAAAAGCAGGGCTTTGAGGTGGAGGTAGGGCAAGAAAACAAACTTTGAAGAGGGCCACAGAATGTTCAGCCACACGTTACACATTTTTAAGGCACGTGAACTTATAACGCATGTCACCACCCAAGATTAAAGGTTAGCCAAACTTGCTGTTTTTGTTATACCGATGTAACAATGCCTTATTGTTTTAAAGCAGTTTGCTTGTAAGCAGTTTTTATAGGAATCTGAGGCATGTTTAAGAATCTGTCAATAACATTCCACAAGGAAACAATAGGCATTTGTTGTAGAAATTGAGGCATTCTCTTGCAGTGATTCTAATCCCTTGAAGCAAGAGTAGTAAGATATGGTATCTAACATGGGAGACCTCTCCTGTGGATCTTCACTGTAGACAAAATAAAGCTGTTTTCATTCAAGTGTTAACCACTCTGCTACTAGAACATCAAATGCTAATTGATTGAATCAGAGTGGACTATTTAAGAAATCACATTCCGTATAACTGTAAAGGGATTTTTATTTGTGGCTTTGACAGAAGCCATTTCAGGAAAAGATTTAAATAGAATCCTATTGCAGACTTTTGTTAGCTTTTCACTTTTTCACAATAGAATGGAATATTTTTCAGGAATCTGGAATTATAATGTAGTATAAATTTGAGCCTTCCTTTTACTTTGCGTAATAGTTTTTGTTTGGTGAACAAATATAGTTTTGTTCTCTTATTCATTTCAGTTTGTACTCCCGGATTTAGCTTTGGCATAGGCAAGCCAGTGTAGCTTGTGTGTGAATGGGTACTAGGAAGATGTACGTTCCTATCTTGCCACCTCCAGTGTGCCCTCAGAAATGAAAATGGGAAGTGGTGAGATGCTTAGCACGCTGAGAGCATATGCAGATTCTCTGAAAGTTGGCTCGGGGTACGCATTTCCCAGAGAAGGAATGCAAATGAAAATCTCTCTTCTTTTAGAAAAGATTTAGCTTCAGAGTATGAATTAGATCAAGCCAAAAGCTATTTTTAAAATGTTTAAAGAAAAAAGGGTACTTTTCAGATTAAGAACAGAAAACAATAGTTGATTTTTAAAGGCAACAGATAATGCCTGTATTTTATTTTATGTCAAAAGAGAGAAAAAGTATGAAATGGAAAAAAGAAGAAGGATGGAAAGAAAGGAAAAAATAGATGTTTATAGTAGAGAGAGAAAAAGGCAGGAGGGTCGGGGGCAGGGAGGGGGCTCTCCTGCCAGGACTGCACCGAGGTAGTTTGTTCCTATTAATTAGCCTTCTTTAGAGCAGTAGAGACCCAGATATTTTCATGTTTTTAAATCCTTCTAAAAGCTAAACTTGTTATCATTTCATGTTAAAATATATTTCTGAGAAGTTCACTTCATTTTATTTTCAAATGATAAAAGTTCATTTCTGTACTAAAAGTTTGTTTCACATTAAATTCTAAATAATTTAGATATCAAGAATTAAAATACTGTTAAAATATTATAGGGCCTAAATTTGCATAAACTTTCTGGTGTTGGATTCATGTAGAAAAAAATACAATCAGGGATCTCATGTTCCTTATCATCCCAAACACCTTTTGCATTATGCAAGTGTGTGGTTTAAAAATCGTGGGACTTCATTGATTTTTATTGTCAAATGACATAACCAAATTTATTTTCCTAAGTTTTTTTAAGATTTTAATTGTTCAACAGGAAAAAGGTTAATGTTTATTAAAACAATATTTGGGGAAATATGAGTGTGTTGTCTAAAAACTGTACTTAATTTTCAGTGTTTGGAAGACAGATAAGGATGGCTTTTCTTCAGATTACAGCTTTTGCATTGAAAATAAATACTAATTATTAAATATTTAAGTCCACTGGCTCCAAGTCCATTCTGTCTGTTCCCTGAGGTAGCCTTTCTCTGGTAGGTCAATGGGTAAGGCCAAGAGCTGGCCCGAAGAGCTGGAGAACTGCTGATTGGCAGGGCAGAGGCACAACCCTGGGTACCACAAGTAAGCCCCACTGTGGTCATCATGAATCCTGGGCAGCACGAATGGCCAGGGAGTAGGAAGAGAGCATTATACCACGTCTTCAAGTGAATTGGCTATTTTGTTTGGCTATGTCAAGTCCAGCCTAAGTTGATGATGTGGACTGAGTCTATTTGGTAAACGGATCCACCAGAGTAATAAATCGGCTCTCTGAAGAGCTCTTTATTCAGTGTGAATTGACAGATGAACACATCTGCCCTCTTGCCTTCTTCCTAAATTTAAGCATGTTGAACAAGACAAACAATTCTATCTTGATTCATAAGTTTCATAAAAACAGGATACTTCTTATGCCAATGCAAATATTGTAGAATATACCAATAGAAGTAACAGTTCATTTACTCACCATTTGTCAAGTAGCAGGCACTGTGGTAAATTTTGCACAGACATTATGGAATGTAAAACTGGGTGACTGGGAAATGGCAGGGGGCATTTCTATGTTTAGCATTTATCCATGACCTTCACCTTTCTCCAGGTGGAGACCAGAATCAACACTGGATGGAGTCTGGGTTCAGCAAACAATGAGATCATCCAAACACACTGAAAGCAAAAAGATATGTTTATTTGAACCTGAAACTGGTTACCGGTGGACTGGGTATAAAGTAGGAGTGGGAGGAGTCTTAGCTAGATGTGATATAAAAATAAAGAAAAAGAAACAGGCAGGCTGGAAGGGTGATATGAAGATCAAGCAGTGAAATATTCAGCCATCAATGATAGTCCAAAAAACCAGTTCTAATTATCTGCCTGACTTGTTTTTGGTCATCCTTTAACTTTTTTCTATGTTCTTTTTGTTTTGTTTTGTTTTCCTGTTTTTAACAGAATTGATAAAAAGATGTCTGGAGGCCAGAGTGGGTATGAACTTACTGAAGCCAAAGCCATCCTAACTGAACTAAAATCTATCAGAAAGGCTATTAGCTCTGGAGAAAAGGAAAAGCAGGATCTGATGCAGGTATGTCACAGAGCACCCTGCCAGCTTCTGACGCCCTGGCCACTTGCCCTCAGGTGGATGCTAGCTGCTGTCACATCCCTTCTTTCATACAGAATTGGGCAGGAGATTGTTATAGAGTGGTTGCCTTAGAGAACAGATCGGTTCAAAGCTCTTGATAGGTTTAATGGGGTTTTTTGTTCTTTTTTTAAATGTTTTTATTTTTTAAAAAGGAAAAGTAAAAACCCAGTAAAACCAGCAGTAACAAAAAAAAAACCCAACTTTATTTATGTTCATTTATTTGAATGGCATAATAGATATAGAGATCTTCCATCCATCAGTTCACTTCCTAAATGCTGCAGCATCTGGGCAGGTCAAACTGAAGCCAGGAGCCAGAAACTCAATTCAAGTCTCCCTTGCGAGTTCTAGGGATGTCATACTTAACAAACTTAACTGCCTTTGACTGTCCTTTTCTGCTAATGGCTGGTAGATCCTGGAGCTCTCTTGAAGAGATTAGCAACTTGGTGCACTTTGAAACTCCTTGAAAAATCTTCATGTGGGACCCAGATAAGTGGAGTTCTGTACCTGGAACTCCCAACCCTGGTTGCATAGTGTGTCTTGTCTGCCATTAGTACATAGTGTCTTTGGAGTGTAAGGCTTTGTGAAGAACTTAGAAAAGTTTTTGACCCAGGTGATTCTGAGAAGCTAGCTAAGGGTGAAGTGGGAAATGTTGACCCAGCTAGCGATTTTCCTGGGAAAGCTGCTGATAGCAGTAGATTCCTTGCTAGACCTGTGTAATTCTCAACATGGGAGTGTTAGGTTCCAAGAATCCAGCCTGATGTGCAGAACAAACAAAACACACACTCGGTGATGAGTGTTGTAAATATCTGTGCATAAAAATACAGTTAATTTTTAAAAGATGTTTCCTTCTTTACTTCTCTCCCTCCCATAATTATGAGCACTAAGAATTCTTGTTTCCAATATTTAGAATTCTTTATCTAGCAGAGTGAAAATTTAGTCTGCATTTTGGGGAAATGTTAAAGTGAATGGTGATGTTTGTCTCATTTATAGAACCTCTGTGTTTAAATATCATATTCAACTACTACATGCTGATTTTTCAAAACGTTAGTTTAATATAGATAAAAGTCTTGGATCTACATAAGTTTTGTTTTGAAAATTTTGAAATAAATTGCAGGAGGAGATATAATAGAAGATGGCAGTAATAATAGCAAATGCTTTAAAGTACTGACTTGGTGGTGCCACACTCTTTAGAAAGCCTTGCACATATATAATTCACCTAATCCTTATATTAGATCAGGTGCTTTTATTACCCTGAGCTTACAGGCAGGCAAGAAGTTAGAGTTGTACAGTTGATAAATAACAGGACTTGGATTTAACTCTTGCTCTATGTGGTTTTAACATACACATGACACATACAGGACTTCACTTGTAAGTAATTTGTTTTGGTTCTACAGTTATCCTGCTGATTAAAACCAATGTTTCCTGAAATGCACATAAATAGGTCCTTTAAAAAAACGAGTAAGTGGACTTGAGCAAATAAATGTGCATTGGGATTTTATAATTTAACAGTTAATACTGTTAAATTTCTCTTGTGAACTTTGGATTCACACATGCATAAGCCAGATTAAAAGATTAGATTCCTTTTCAAATATTAAAGTACATAGAATAATCTCTATATTAGTAGACATGGAGATAAACGGGCCTAGAAGGGAAATTGGATAGATTTATGGCTTTCAAACCTCTTAGAACACAGTAAGAAAACTATTTTCCCTTAGACTCCCATAAACACACACACGTAGAATATACCTACTGTTAAGTACTGGTAATGTGATTTTATTTTCCAGTGTCTTCTACTTCATTAGGAAACATACTAGTCACATCTATTAAATTGATTGAATGCATTGTAATATATTGTCATTGAAAAACACCAAGGCCTTCACTTTACAGAAGCTAACATAGAAAGCATCTGCCCAAGGAGATTGAAAGCTTTGTTATTTAATATGTTGTTTGGCAAGGGCCTTTAAGTTGCATCCCTTTTGTACATACATTTTGTGTAAATAATCTTTTATAAGAAAGTAGAGGTTAGGTAAAAATAAATACTAGCTCTTTATTATTTTTACTTTCTTAGGAAACTTTTCACTATCAGGATTAAATATTAGACCTTCTTGATGATTAACGGTGACTTCTTACCATTTTTGCTCATATTACTTTATTCATTTGCTTTTTTTTCTCTAGCAGTTAAGGCAAATTCTTGGGTCTTACTTGTTTATTTTTTTAGTACTTGCTCTTGCTCTCATTGTAACTCTGAAATTCACTTTACCAAACCAAGCGCTTCGCCTACCCCCACGCAGTGGCCACGACCCAGGCCGCTCCTTCACAACCTCTGAGCCTCAACTTGTAATCCTGAACATTGGGCCCTGTCCACAACTTCGAAGTAGGAAGTTGTCTTATTATGTCTAAAACGAAAGATGGAATTCTTCGCATATAAGCGTTCTTTGTTTCTGTAATTTCTGTTGCATAAAGAGATTGGGTCCTATTGAACAGACTTCCTAATGAGATTTTTTAAAATAAAAAGGTGCGTATAACAAAGACACCACTACTCACAAAAATAAAATACTGTTATGGGAAAGGTAAAGGTTAAATATGATCTCACATACACTTCCAAAGTCATGTGAATTATATTTTTCTGTTATGCTTCACTAATATAAAGTGGTAAGTTCCTACCAAAATGAAGTCATTATTTTATTTCCATCAAGATTGGCCCTTTCTGTTGAATCTTACCTGTTGAGGAAGGATCGTTATCTTCATGCTAAGCCTTATGAAATGCTTTGTTTCTTGAACAGAGTCTTGCCAAGCTACAGGAGCGATTTCATTTGGATCAAAACATGGGCAGATCTGAGCCAGATTTGAGATCCAGTCCTGTGAACTCTCACTTGTCTCTCTCCAGACAGACCCTTGATGCCGGCTCACAAACCAGCATTTCCGGAGATGTAAGTCTCAGCTCAAGGGCTGGCCCCTGCACAGGCCCACGCTCTGGCAGTTATAGTCAGGATGGTGAACTGGGCCAGGGACTGGGGCTGTGCTCTGGTTGTGTGCCTTCAGCATTGCCTTCCCAGAAAACTTGTTTTAGAAAGCAGTCATATCTTTGATAAGCTGCTAAGGATATCAGTACATGTCCCTTTGAACACTTTTATTCCAAGCCCCTTACGCTGCGTTACTTCAGAGACACAAATTAATGTCAAGAGACATAGGAGAGTTTAGCTTTTTCCTGTTAGTCATCCCTGTTATCACGTCTTGGAAATTTGGAATCTTTCAAATTAATACTAAGGCTAACAAGAAACAAAAGAAACCAACAAACCTGAAAATCTGTTTTTGCAAACCCACAGTTGATATATTAAAATATTCATTTATGTTTTTTAACTGACATTTGAAGGTATTTACAATTGCTTGGGTATGGTTTGCCTTCTTGCTTTAGGAATGCCGTAATCAGGTGTGTCCTCTTCAGTAAGTTTCTGACTGTTTTTGTGTTCTTTTATGCTTTCTTGAAGTTGGTGCTGTGAAAGTGAAACAGGTAGAGGTGGAAGTTGGTCTTGCCTGTTTGAAAATTAATTTTTAAAGTTATCTAGTTTATATTTTGTACAGTTGGAAGCTAAATGATGGAAATTTTTAGTGCACAAAGCAAAGAAATTAGTTCTAGTTCATTAATTTTATTGACCAGTGCACCCTCCATAAACTCTTAGGCACCAGACACATTTACCTGCTATTTTTTTGTCTTGAGTTTAATGTGTGGAGAAAGTGATATTAAAGTCTTTGGAAAACACACAAGGTTGAATTAAAAGAAATGTTTTGCCCCTACTGAGATTATAAAGTAAGTGCCTTTTAAAACTGTTTTTTCTCCAATTTTAGTGCCATCTTGTTTAGCTTTTCAATTACTTACACTTTCTAGAAACAAAGGCAGTTTACCTCATTCATTACCAAAGTTAATTGATTTCTTCCCTTTTGTTTTTTACTAGATGGGAGTGAGAAGTAGATCACACTTAGCTGAAAAGGTCAGGCTGAGTCTACAGTATGAAGAAGCCAAAAGAAGGTAATAATGACAGGGGAGCTGTTGTGTTTGTTTGGGTGTCTGGAATGTGATGGTATGTTCCAGAATGATCTCTACTCCTCTGGTGACATCTGCTGGGCATTGCCACACATTCTTGCCAAGGTGCCTGGCAATAGAGGATATGGGGTTTGCTGTCCCTCTCCCCTCTCTATTCTCTTCCCTTTCTTCAAAGGTGACGAGCAGGGGGAATTCATGAGAGATGTGGAAACAAACTTGTCCCCTTCTCTTCTGGAAAAAGAAGGAAACTTTGGGCTTCTCCATTGCCTGACTTGCAGTCAGAAGTGAGAAGGTGGCCTCTCAGATGGCAGCCAGGCACAGTCAGGTGATCTTTGCCGTCTGCTCCTCTGCTCTGAGGGAGAGGGGTGTCATGCCACTGGTGTCCCTGATGATCTGTAATGTCCGCCCAGGTGACCTGCTGTTCAGGGAGAGGGCTGTTCGTCTTCTTTATAAACCCTTGCTAACCTCGCGCCTGTTCTGGAGTGAGGCAATGCCACCACCCATTCCTGGGAGGTCAACTTAGGTTGCTTCCATGGCATAAACCACCTTATTTTGGGGAATAGGGTGCTGATGGTTTTTACTTCATTATTTTTCCTTTTAAGAGCTGAAAAATGCTAATGGTTAATTATTTAGGATAACATTAGGAAAAACTGCATTGACACCCTGCAGGGGGAAAAAAATTGTCACATACTTCCCCACAAACAGGGAAAGCTCATCACAGTACTTTCTAGAATGTCATGACTTCCTACTATAAGGAAAGCCATCAGACACTGCAGTATAACCATTATAAATGGGGAGGTATTTATGATAAATATAAAGGTAATTGGCCATAGTTGCTAGCTTTAATAAAACAAAATAAATTTAATATTTGCCTCTATGTAGTTTATGTTCCTGTTATATTTGGTTCATCAGTTTACTGAAGGAAACAACCTGTGTCCCACCAATTATTAACCATATGAGCTTGAGTAAACCACTTGGTCATTCTGAAGTTTACTCAGGCTAATTTTAACACCTTTAAAATTTCCTGACAGATTTTGAATTTCTTGAGACTAGGGGGAAAAAAAACAAAAAGCTGATGTCCTTAGGTTCTGGATTCTTCTGGGCTTGATTCTGTATCCCTTGGATGAACTTGAGCGCTTGCTTTCCTCTGACTGCTGGCAGATACTTCCTTCTAGAGCCTCTACGGATCTCTCTTCGTAAGTGCCCCTGGAAATCTTCTTCATGTTCTGTTCCCCAGATTTGGCATGCTTTTTCTGAAATAAAATGTAAGGCTTAGCAAATGCTTACTCATACAAGGAATGAGCCAGCGTCTTTCCTCCCTGCCCTGAGTTGGAAGGTTCATCCATTGCATCAACGCAAAGATGTTGGTTTGTCCCACTTGGTTACACTGCTGAACCGTGTGTGGTTTTATGTTAGTTACTAATGTTGTTGATGACAGGGCAAATCCCAAGGGTTTTTGTTTATGTTGAGAATGCTATTTCCGCCTCAGTCTTAAATGAGTAAAGGGGCAGATTGTGTTTCTCTGAAACTGTTTTTTTCCTCCAGCCTTTGTTTTATGTGCTTAATGAAGCCAATAATATCATGCTTATTTAGCAATTCGCTGATTAATTTTCTAGTACGTTGAGACAGTTGTTTATGATTTTGTGGTTAAAGCTAAAGAATAGCTGATGTTACATCTGATGTTACTATCGTAAGTGCAGATGCTCCTTCAGAAAGAGGAATGCAGTATGTGTGCACAGCCAGATGGAGGTGTTAATCTTTTCTAGAGCAAGAAACAGTGTCCAGGGCTGTGAATGATCCATCTTTGTTCCTGGTCTTGTTTCTTGTTCACTTTTCTTGTGCTCTTCTGTAAATTCTTGCAGCAGAGGGGAAGACCGTCCCCCTTGATGTCTGTCCTCTTCTATTCTGGTATGAGCTGTAATAGTGTCCAGTCACCTAGTATCTTCTTATAAGGTCATAGATTCCTCTTGCTAACATTGATTGTGCTCCTTTTTTTCCCTGGTGTTATCCCTTGGAGCTACAAGCGGTTTACCTGGTCAGCAAGTGTGATGGTCTTCCTGGAACCATCATGCAATTTGATTCCAAGTGGCCAGGACATGCATATCAAGAGGGGAGTTAGGTGAACTTTGCCTTCTGCCGTGGAGCTCCAGACAGATCAGACAAGATGATAAGGCATGGAGCTGATTCATCCTGTCTCCCTTACTGTGGCACTTTTTCACTCCAGAGGCTGCTGTATCCACTGCTATGCAGCTGGTCACCATGTCGATGGGACCAGTGTCCTGAGCATGCAGCAATGTAAATCATACCTGAGGCCATCAGAGTCCCTCAGGGAGGAGACTTTGCAGTGTGCTGCGGAGGTGTGTGGCAGGAGGCTGAGTCTGTTGACTTTGCTTTAACCATTGACCACGCCCCTGCTTGCCTTCCTGTCCTCTTTCATACCCAACCTCCTAATACCTCTAGCTGCACCCTGCCTGACCTGGGGATTATTGTTTGACTAGGGAAAATGTCTTTATGCAGTGAATAGCATCTCATGGCATGCGGGGCATGCCTGGTTTGTTGAAAGGAAGCCCAAGATACCTCATACTGGAATTCCCACATTTGGCAGACCTGCCCCAGCCCCAAAGCACCATGCGGTTGAAGCTTCTATGCACTTGATCTTCATGCTTGGATCAGGCAGCTCATTCATGCTTTAAAGGTATGAATGACCACTGTGTGTGATTCAGGACCAGATAGTGGAGTGCAGGCTGCTACCTCACTCAGGGATCTCACAGGGAGACCATTCCACTGCTGCAGGGGTCATGGCCCTGCCTTGTGTCAGAAGTTCTCAGTCAGCATCTGCCTTTTCTATGCCTTTGTTTCAGTATGGCAAACTTAAAGATCGAGCTATCGAAACTGGATGGTGAGACCTGGCCGGGGGCGCTGGATGTTGAGAAAGAGAGACTGATGCTCATCAATGAAAAGGAAGAACTGCTGAAGGAGCTGCAGTTTGTCACCCCTCAGAAACGCTCCCAGGATGAGCTGGAGCGGCTGGAAGCCGAGCGCCAGCGGCTGGAGGAGGAGCTGCTGGCCGTGCGGCGAGCACCAAGCCGTGCCCTGGCCGAGAGGTTTGTGTTGTCCCCACCACAGGTCAGCTCAGCCTGGAGTGTGGGTCTCGGCTGCAACGCCATGCAGGACAGCCTGCCCTGAGCCCAGACAACATCCCGTGTGTGTGTGTGTGTGTGTGTGTGTGTGTGTGTGCACGCGCGTGTCTGTGACTGAGCAAACATACGCATATGTGCAGTCCCTGAGGAATGCTGACCTCAAACCAGGAATGCAGTCCAGCACTAACTGCCTGACAGCAGCAGCCATGCACGACTGCACTCCAGTAGATGGCCGGGCACAGCCGGAGCTTCTTCCTGTGCCAGCTTTCACTGTTCACCAGCACGTACAGGTTTATTTCCCCTTCATTTCTCTGGGATCTCCTAACAAGTCCTAAATGTTCACTTGCATTTGGTTTGTTAGTGGAAGCACTTTCCTGAGAAGGTGATAATGTAAAGGAAATCTTAGCACTTCTCATTACACAGTTTTCTGTGGGAAGTGATTTGATTCTGTGATTTGATTAACTGAAGAGGGTGGAAATTCTGGGAGAGACGCTTGCTGAGCAATTGAGCAAAGGCTCGTGTATGTGTGTGTGTGTGTGTGTCTGTCCTGAACATAACTGCCTGTGAGGCCTTAATGTTGGCTGGCTGCTGGGGTGGTGAGGACCTGTAGGCTCCACTGCATACACTCCCATCCTTGAGGCCAACAAGCAAGGAACAGTGCTTGCCCCACAGTGACAGGAAAGATTCTACATTGGTATAGCTTAGCCTCAGATGACCTGAAGCTAAATTTAAGACACCCAACTGTGATCTAGTTACTTTCTTAAAAAGAATTCAATCAGTGTTTCAGGTCGTGTGGCTGGATAATATTAAAACCTTTGAAAAGATGCGGTAGGAGAGAGGAAAGCTTCTCAAACATTCCCAGTTAGGAATTGGCATGGGGGTTGGCCCTGCCCACCCTGAGTCGCCTTTCCCTGTTAGGGGAACCTTGGTTTCTCTGAGTGAAAATGTTGATTGAGTTAACACTTAGCCCCAGGGTCACAGTTTTAGGAATCATGAAAAAGCATTGAAAAGAGAAAATCCCTACAGACCGCATTCTGTGACCATCTGAATAATTCTTGTCCATCCTTCCATTTTCCCTTCTTTTCTTCCCTTTTTGCTCTTACTGTCCAGAGGTGCTGACCGGCAGGCTAATCTGGGGTCAGTCTTGAGCATAGCGAACCACAGGGCCATCTGGCGAAGTCAGAGAGGAGCGGAGAACTAAGATGAGAAGGCAAAGGCAGAATGCCATCGCTGGCTTGCTCCAGGTGGCTCAGCCCTGCAGTGGGCCGTTGGCCTGGCAGTGAAGTCGCCGCGTGCCACATTGGATTGCCTTAGTTCAGTCTCTGACACGTTGCCAGCCAGTACAGACCCTGGGAGGCAGCAAGGATGGCTGTAGGCACCCACCTCCTGCTGCCACGTGGGAAGCCTGGATTACAATCTCTCTCTCTCCTCAAGTAACTTATTTTTAAATTGCAAGAGAATCTTGTGCTTTTAAAAAAAAAAAAAAAAAACAACTTTTAAAACATGGCTCACTATTGTGCATTTTCAAAGGAGCTTTCCCGACTGCTGAAGTGAACTGTCTTTGCTTTCCTGGGTGGGCACAGCATGGTGGGCACGGCATGGTGGGCCTTTGGGTTTTGCTGCTGTTGGTGGTCATAGTTTACTCCCTGGTTCTCTGTCTCTTGGTCTTGTTTGCCTTTCACTGTTTCTCCCCGCTCTGTGTAGATATTTCTGCTCCACCTGTTACTGCTGTGGAGCTGGAAGGGAGTGCCTTTCCAAGCAGTGTGTTTCCCGGTGGTAAAGCAGGTGGGGAGAGCAGACATTTGTGAGAAATGAGGTTCTCTGTGAAGAGCCCAGTGTCATCCTGGAACGAACCATGTGCCACCAACACTAGATCCTGACTTTTTTTTTTTTTTTTTGGTGCCTCCATGGCTGTCAGAGAAAAACTGCTTGCCAAAGTCCTCCACAATTTCCCATGTTGTATTCATTTTGTGGATTCCTTGGCACGTTAGGGGTGACCTCAGACAGAATTCTGATCCCTGCTGAGCTTGGGTCTTGGAAGGAGCTGCATTCACATGAATTTCCAGCCACTGTATTTCTGTAGCTTGGCGTGACAGCAGCGACTGAACTCATCACCTAGTGAGTGTAGAGACATTGGGGGAAAGGGACGCTCTGTGAGGCCATGAGAGAAATTGCTGTCAGGTGGAAACATCCTTTCGTGCAGGCCCTTTTATACGTCTTTGATGTTCTTTCCATGTGGCTCTGAGAATTCCTTATACTCTGCTGTTCTATAGTTGATAAGACACTACCATTGCTCCTTATTTTCTTACACAGTTGACAATTTTGCCTGACAGTTGCCAAGATGTTATAATTGTTTCTGAATTAGTTAAAAAAAATAATTGCTCCTGTCTCTGGAAAATGGTTTATTCAACTGTTTAGAGATGAATGTGTCTTTTTTAAATTTTATTCTTACTGTTTTCTATATGGAAGGGACTTACTCTGCTATGGGCCATGAAAGTTTTCCTGATGTGGAATTCCAAGTTCAGGGAAGAGCAGGCAGCGCCTGTTGCTTGGGACACCAGGAGCCCAGCTAGGAGGGTGTAGGCCCCTATACCGTGCAGAGGGCAGCTGACAGCAGGGCCTCCAAGAGGGACCTTCTAGGGCCACATGGAAAGACTCCTGTCCACTCAAGATGAGAAGGCCTGGGTTGGAGAAGAGCTCAGACAACAACCCCCTGCCTACCTGCCTCTCTTAACAGGGCCGATGTCAGCAGTTGCTTCTCACCCCTGGCTGAAGGCAACTAACTAGCAAGGGTACCTCCCCTGAGAGACCCATGGAATTGCTGTTCCCAGGGACCCCAAAAAGAGGGAGGCACTGTGAGGGCAGCCAGCCCATCAGGAAACTGGGAGTGAAAAAGGAGAAAGGTTGACATGGGCCTCCCAGCACCTCGGAGCTGATTGGGCAGCATGTGAACAGGAACAGCAAAGCCAGGTGCCGGGAGCTGAGAGGAAACACAGACCCGGAAAGGGAGAGCTGGCTCCTGACAATTGTGCGCGGAGCAAACACCGCAGGAATTCGTTTTCATGTCGTATTGGTGTCTCCTTGGAACACTAGGAAGCACCTTTTCTTTTAGCATTTTAAAAGTGTTTCCCTCGCTTTAGAAGACATGGGTTTTAGGAGTTTGAGACTTTTTGTAGACCTTCCATTTTCTATTAATTTTTTCCATGCTGTGTTTTTGTGTATATTTGAGAGATTAAGAAAATGAAAAAAAAAAGGCATATGCTTGTTTTTAGAATAAACCTTTGAAAATTGTGAATTAAGAATTTTATGCTTTGAAGCATTAAAATGGCCAGTGTAACTTTTTAAATTTTAGCATATAATGGAAATGGTATTGTAGACACATCAAAGGGTGGATACTTATAAACAAGATACAAGACTGTTTCCTCACTGCCAGAAACCGCCAGAGCATTTCAAAGGGGTTGAAAATTGGGGAAAATTTATTTTTCTCCAAACAAAAGTGACTAATTTCTATATCACCACCTTGCAGGGGTGTGCTGAGGCTTAGAGCAAACAGGATTTGTTGTTCCTGTCCGCAGAACCCTTTCTGTCCCTTAGTCTCTTTGATCCCTTCCCCAGCCTTATCAGGTAGCCACAGAGGATGGTAATCGCCATTTCCACTTGCAGAAGGTGAGACCCTGTGGGTTCAGTGACTTGCCCAAGGGGATGCAGCTACAAAGCTGCGGCTGGAAACCCAGGTGTGCTCCACCCGCCCTGTCCATCCCAGCCTGCCTCTCCTGTCTGCTCCAAGCTGCTTTATTTTGATGCTTTCTGAAGATGACAGAGACTATGCTCTTAGTTGTATAAGCCCCAGGGTGTTTGATAAGTTTTTAAAAAACAACTTCCTATTCAAGTGCATAATTCCATAACATTCTATTTAAAAACAAAAACAGTTTGCAGGATAGGTTAGGATAATTTGGCACAGGTTAGTAGATGTGCTGTAGCCAGGTAAGGAAGGCACCTTATTGTCGTCCTGCTAACACAGGCCCAGGTTACTCCTCAGGAGCAGTAGGCACTGCTGATTTCCTTGATCACCAGAACACTCATCTGTTTTAGAACTGCCTGTTTCAGTAATAATTGATTTTGGAACATTCCTTGTTTAATTCAATACCAAGATGACTTTTCTGATCTTACCCCATTATTCTTGTCAACTATTTCAGTGAGGGAGCGATGGCTAGCTTGTTATATACCCACACCACACATTAGAGGCCTCACCTCTGATGCCCAGCTCCAGCACCAGACTTGGTATTCTTGTCCATGCCAAGCTTGGGGGCTAGGGGTGGGCTGTATTGACAGCTCAGTTGTCTCTCTGCACCTTGACCTACCGCAGCCCGCCTTGCCTTTGTAGGCATGCAGAGAGCAGTCTAGCAGATAGAAACTCTCCCTACTTGTCAGAAAATCGATTTTTAGAAGTTTTTTTTTTAATAAACACATCATTCATATGAAGCCAAGTCACAGACCTGAATAATAATTCTGTAATGTTTTGTTATCATCACCTTTCTCTTGGTCACCATTCTTCCCTAACTCACAGGGCTGTGTTACTTACCTGCTTAGGAGGATGTTTGGCCACCTGTATCCTGAGCCCCTCAGTGGCTGAAGGATGGGGCAGGAGTTTCCCCTGCATTTAGTGCAGCTGTGTGTTCTTCCTGGATCCCCTCCTTGCTGACTGTCCCGTTGTCCCTTTGTCACGTTCGTTGACAAGTGACAAGTATACACAACAAGAATCTTTCAGTTTTCTTGCTTTTTTTAATCATTTGAAATGAAAATAACTTCCACCTGTTTTCCTAGGTTGAAGCTGGAGGAGAGAAGGAAAGAGCTGCTACAGAAACTTGAAGAAACTACTAAATTAACTACTTCATTGCATTCACAGCTCAAAAGGTAAGGCAGTCAGGATCTTCTTGGGAAGGTGGTCTCCCAGCTACCTCTAAGCAGGATCTAAGCCTCCACTGTTTCTGTTGACTTCATGTTCAGCTATCCAAAAGTAAGGAAGGTGGCCACCCAAGCGCAGTGAACATTCAAGTTAGCAGACTTCAAGCTATATAGGCTGGTTTCTCCTGAACACCCATGGTTATGTTGGGAATACATTTGGAATGTGTCATAAGACAACGATATGTTCTAGCTACCAGTCCATTCTTAGGAAAATAACATACTTCTCTCATTGCCAAAACTCTTAAATAAATTGTAGGGGGTGGGGAAAATTCACCTTAAAATATTTAGCCATAGTTTTTCTTAGATTGGTTAGAAAGAGATGCACCCCTTACATTCTTACACATGGAAGAGGAAAGGCTTGACAGGAGCCTTCTGTGTAACCTGTGTTTTCCTTTGCTTATCTTTATTTAATCTTTAAAAAGTTCGGGATTTTTTTTTTTTTTAAGTAAATCAGCTATAGTAAGATTTGGCCCTGTTGGTTTCTCCTTTTCCCCCTATTGGTATATTAAATTGAAAATTGTTTCTAGATATTTATGCGTGAAGATTTACTGATAGGTATTTGATCTTTTCTTTTAAAAAATGTTTGCAAAAGTGTAGCTTTTAGTAAGAATAGTGTTGCTATGTAGAGTATTTGAGGGTTGACATTGTGACCTAGTAGGTAAAAGCCACTGCCTGCAATGCTGGCATCCCAGATGGGTACAAGTCCTGGCTGCTCCATTTCTGATGCAGCTCTCTACTCTAATTGACACAAGTGTGGGACCCCTGCCACCCCCGTGGGAGACCCAGATGAAGCTCTTGACTCCTGGCTTTGGGCTGGCCAGGGTCTGGTTGTTACGGCCATTTGGGGAATGCAGCAGCAAATGGAAGATCATTCCATGTCCCTCACTCTCTCTAACTCATAACTCTCAAATAAATAAATGAATCTTTTTTGTAGAAATTGAGAGTAGAGTTGCAAGTGTTAAGTGAATACACAAGGAAGCTAACCTCATTCCTTGGTGTCACTGGGTTTCTCCTGGCTGGTGGTCCCAAGGGAGCCCCTAGAGGCTGTGCTAAGCTGTTCCACCTGTGATGTATCTGATGGTGTGTGTCCTTGTCCTGTAGCCTTTCGGCCAGCACCCTGTCCATGTCGTCGGGGAGCAGCCTGGGATCTCTGGCATCTAGCCGGGGCTCTCTGAACACCTCCAGCAGGGGCTCACTCAACTCACTCAGCTCCAGCGAGCTGTACTACAGCAGTCAAGGCGACCAGCTGGATGCCGACTACCAGTATAAGCTGGACTTCCTCCTACAAGACAAAGGGGGTTACATCCCTTCCGGACCCATCACCACCATTCATGAAAATGAGGTGGTAAAGTCTCCAGGCCAGCCTGGCCAGACTGGACTCTGTGGGGGGACAGCCACAGCTGCCGGCCCCGCGCCACCACTGTCTGAGGCCCCCAAGTCTGTGACATCCCTGTCCTCAAGGTCCTCTCTTTCCTCCTTGTCACCTCCCGGCTCACCCTTGGTCTTGGAGGGCACGTTCCCCATGTCCCCACATGACGCCGCTCTCCATCCATTCACTGCTGACTTCGAAGACTGTGAATTGAGCAGCCGCTTTGCAGACATCGGCCTGGGTGAAAATCAAATACTGCTTGACTCTGACTCCGGAGGAGCATCCCAGGCCATGTTGGAGGATAAAGACCTTAGTGGGTGTGCCAGTGAGCCTCTGTATGAAGGAGCTGCAGGTGAGTGGGGACCTTCGCTTGCGGGTGTTCCCCATTACTTAGTTGTAAGCAGACTCTGCCCATAGAAACAGCCAGGACAGTCCTGCTCACACTTTTTTGTGAGCAGTGTCAGTGTTTGTGTCAGCTCCATTTAAGGTGTAGATATTGTTTTCTTGATTAAGTAAAAGTCACTTTCTCTTTTGAACCAGTTTAGTCATTAAGTGCTGTATTTTGTTCAGGGACCTTCTGTATGGCAGCTAATAGGCAGTGTACCTTGTGAGCACACTTTATGCTACCAAATAGACTGACCAGAAAGAGCATGCAAAGAAGTGGGCTTGCCTTTAAAAGATGGCCTCATGCAGATTAAAACCAAGGCAATTAGCATAGTAGCTAATTAGTAGCAAGGTTCAGTGTCTGGATTGCTCAGGGAATTCTGTATAAATACAATTTTTTGTTCCGTGCCAAACTCCCTTTCTTCTTGTGGTGGAAGAGGATGCCGTTCATGGTGTTACCCTGCCACCCTCTGGCCACCGTGAGACTTGCAGGAAGAGACACAGAAGGGTTCTGCCTACCTACTCATAATAGGAAGAGTTTCGTTTTTCCCCTCTCCCTCTTTTAAAAATCGTTTTCCTTAGCAAAATGGAGACCTTGACTGCTTGTGATGTGGTTTCAGAGAGCACAAGAGGGTACCTTGTTGACAGGCTTTTCTGGTGCTCACTTGAAGCTGTGGCACTCACCCATAGGGGTCCTGCTCAGAGCAACTCACATCACTGTGTGCTCTACCACACAGGCAGTGTAGGCACTGGAGAGGGAGAGCATTGGCTTGTTTGCGTGTATGGTCCTAGGAGTTATAAGTCTGAATTGATTGGAGAGTTCAGTAGTGTAAAGAAGTAGAGCAATCCAACCTCTTTGACGGGCGTGTGAGCCAGCCTCCCGGGCTTGCTGTTCTCCATTGGCAAAGGAGGTTGACACCAGGATATGCATCAAGCCCCTGTGCAGGCCCGGCCCGGTTGATGGAGCAGTGACCAGGAAGCACTATGCTGACCCTATAGACGGTTCCCGCCTTAGAGCAGCGAGAGTTACGGAAGGAAGAAAGGAGACAGATGCAAGCGGTGTGTGCTTCCGAGATCAGACGAGATCAGGCGCGTTCAGGATGGTATGGCCGTAGACAGCGGTGTGTGCTTTGTAGCACTCTCCTGGGTCCTTGATTTGAAGGATCTTAACATCTCTCAAGCATTTCAGGTTGCTTTTGCTCTTCATGTACCTGCAGGAGCCTCGAGTGACCACTTCTCCAGCATTGGGGCAGTTAGGAGGGGCCAGCAGGTGAAGCCCAGGGCTGGAGGAAGAGGAAGGCTGGGCAGATGCCCTGAGGCCTGTGATCCCTAACCCTATGGCGCTTGCCTGGCTGGGGCCTTGCTCCCAGCCATTGGTCTGCTGCTCTCTCTCTCAGACGAGTCTATGTGGCTGGAGCCAGGTTCATCTGAAGCTTTAATTAGACCTTTTTAAAAACTTTTAAAATGTGTATCATTTTTAATAGGTTAGCCAAAGGGAAAACACAGCCAAGAGCTTTGTTTGCAGGTAACATTCAGTTTCGTGTCTGACAGTAGCTGAACACTTATGTTGAACGATAAAGATGTATTGTCCAAGACCTCCATCCCTGAGCCATTGGTCCCTCACGCACACGGCGGCAGGAGGCTGCCCATCAGGGCCACAGGTGAAGTCAGGTCTCTTTTATACAGCACCTGTGCCTATCATTGACAAAAAAAACAAGTTGGAATAACTACAGAGTCTTTCCTCAGTCAGTCTCTGTTGTCGTCAAAGTCAATTTCAGGTTGCTGTGGTTATTCCTGGGGGTAATCAATAAATCATGTCATCACCTTCACCCCTCGCCAAGGGAGGTGGCCAGAGAGAAGGCACTTCATCATCAAGGAGAAAGCATTCCTACTGCCAGAAATAAAAGGGGAAATGCAGCAATCAATCCTGTAATCTGAAGCCTTAAAACTTAAACATCTTAACAAGATGTAAAGTCACGACTCAGGAGGGGGCCGGCGTGCATACCAATCGAGACCCCCCCCCCCCCCTTGGCTGGGCTGGCGCGGAGGAGAGGATGAAAGCGCACCGCAGGCATGCGGCTTATTACAGCCCAGAACACAGCTTTAAACGAATGTGCTCCTCGCTCGCCGCAGGATGCTCCTGGATGAATATGAGTTAGAGATAAAAGTTAAGTGGTCGTTGGTGCTAAAGATTGAGTAAAACAAAAAGTTGCATTTTCTTTCTGTCTTTTTTTTTTTAATTGGTATTAGCTGGTAAGACATTCCTGTAAGTCAAAGACATTTTCTCTATAATTTCTTTTAGAATAGAAGCCTGGGCAATGTGGTCTCTGGTGTGTGGGGAGGAAGAGAGAGGCCATGAGGAAAGCAGCCTTCTCTTTGAGTCACCCAGAAGCTCTCTGGGGCTGCACACTTTCCCCGAGCTGAGGGAGGCAGTTAGCTTCTTAGCCCCCATGTGTGACCACCCTCATGGATGCGTCAAAGAAAGACTCAAGCAACCAGGGAGCATTTGAGTAATCCATTGCCATCCCTCAAAATAATGGTAGGACAAAGAAAAAAGCATATTTCTTCCAAAGTCACAACAGAAAGCTGGGGTCCCAAGGCTCCTGAAGGGTCGCAGGGCGGTTTCATATGTTGATTTGCGTAACGGCATCCTTGACTCTCTGAGAAAGTGATGCTGGGGAATCCTTACCAGCCAATCTGTGTGTACTCCACGCTCAGCTTTACCTTGCAAGGCATTCTAAATAATGCTACCAACCTTCCTCCCTTAGATGTGGAAAAGTCATTACCAAAAAGAAGAGGAATCCACCTTCTTGGGGAGAAAACAGCTGGTGTGTCGGCTGCTGTGTCTGATGAGTCCGTGGCTGGGGACAGTGGGGTCTACGAAGCTTTCATGAAACAGTAAGGATTCAGCAGGGAGGCTTTTAGCTGCACTGCACCTGCTCAGAGCTGTGTGTGTGCACATGTGTAAGCATGTGTGTGTGTGACACTGTGAATGTCCTTCACTCTCAGCCATTCCCATCCACCAGAGAAATCATCAATAAATGGGTTTACTCAGAGGCAACCAACCCTCTTTAAGTCTTGAAATACTTGATTTTTGTGGAGATGTTGGGGTGATTTGCTGCTGCTTGTTTAGCGCACGAAGCTTCTGAAAAGCTGGATTGTATGTAGAGATTTGTTAGAGGTGTGTCCTGGTGAGGCTGGGTCAGGTCAGACCCCAGAAATTCCTTCTCTACAGCTCAGCAGCAGGCTCTCGTTGCAAATGGAAAGACAGCCTGTGAAACAGTCAGCTTTCCCTGGGCTCAGTTCACCTGAGGTGGTACAGGAATGCTGGGCATTCAGACTTTTACTCAAAATGAGCCAGTAGAGCCACCAGATGCAATGCCAGCATCCAATATGAGTACCTGTTGAAGTCCTGGCTGCTCCACTTCCAATCCAGCTCCCTGTTCATATGCCAGGGAAAGCAGCAGAAAATGGCCTAAGTGCTTGGACACTCCCCCCCAACCCCCCACCCCCCGCACCCACATAGTAGACACAACGAAGCTCCCATTAGTTGAGGAGTGAACCGGTGGTGGAAGATCTCTCTGTCTCTCTGTCCTCTCTCTGTAACTCTGCCTTTAAAGTAAATGAATCTTTATAAACAAAAAAATCATGGATAACAAACGGTGATTCAGAGCAAACACTGTCCTCATGAGTTGCCTGCTTGCCCTTCTCAGGCCAAGTGAGCTCGAAGATGTTCCGTACGGGGAAGAGGATGCTGCCGTTATGGAGACTGCCCAGGTGCAGATTGGGCTCAGGTAGGGAACGTCCCCTGTGGAAGGGCATGTCTGAAAGTCTGTGCAGTCACAGGTGGTCAGTGGCGGTTTCTTGCTTCATCCAGCTTCTCTCTTTAACAGATACGATGCAAAAAACTCCAGCTTCATGGTGATCATAGCACAACTTCGAAATCTTCATGCCTTCTTGATACCTCATACTTCAAAAATGTAAGTGAAATCAGTGAAGAGCAGCTTGGAAAACTGAAAACTTCTCAAATCATTAAAGAGCAATTAAAAATTTAAAATTTTTTACTTAGGACATTTGCATTGTCATTAAGCAGTTTATTAAAGCGAAGACAAGGAAATGATGCAGCAAGGTTGGTCATATTTATATCAATAGTAGTTAAAGATAAAAGGAAAATGTGATGAAGGCATTTAGGTTTTTGTCCTTACTAACTCATTAGTAAAATAGGTACCAAGTCTTTTCATCTCTATTTTCAATCACAAAGTCTTTATTATGCTGTGGTGGGACCTGATTATTTGAAATACAATGAGAACTTTTCCTTTGGCATTATAGTCACTACATTTTTTTTTAAATTGGGTAATATTTACTACAGCTGGCTTCGAGGCATGTTCTGATCTTTTACATGGCAAGACTGCGATTGAGTCTTATTTGTCAGTATAACGTTGTCAGGCATTTTCCATGCTACCTGCAGGAGTGTGTCTTTGTCCTCGGGCATTCACTTAATAATTTCTTCAGGTTACTTTCCTTCATCACACCCAGAATCCCACCCAAGGGATGGCACGGCTCCTCACAGTCGGTGCTCTGAGACTATCAGATCTTTCCCACCATTCACACTGTCTGTCTGCAGTCAGAGCTCCAGTGCTTGTTCTACAGCTTCATGGCTATGGATGGACCACATGCAAATGTGACCATCCAAAACTTTCCTTGAGCTTTTTGAAGTATGCTGGAGTATGTCTACTCCACATGTGAACTTCAGAGTCAGGCTATGAATCTTGGTGGCAACAAGGACTGGGAAATAAGAGCTGCTAAGGGGTGACGCCCCAGGACCCTGTGCCCAACCAGGTAGAGTGTATTCTTCAATGAGATGCACTGCTGTTAGGATTAATGAAACACAGAAGTGTTTTGAATGTTTTCTCTGCAAGTATAAACTCACAACTCATATTCTAAGAATTGTCCAAGAAAAGAAACGAGATCGAAAGAAAGACTTAGCTTGAAATATTACGGTTGGCAGCCAGAGACTAGAGGATGGATATCTGTGTTCACAGTCACAAAACTAGAGGGAATAGGATTCCAGGAGGGGAGCAGACTCAAAGGACTTGATGTCATCAAGGCCTGGGACCATCAGATCCAAACCAAGAGAAGGCAGAATGTGGGGCTGGCTAGTTGAGTACCTACTGCCCTGGCCTCCTAGTAGAATGCCAGTAGACAGTGTGCAGGGAAGTCAGACTTGATAACGTGCTTTGCCATCTCTCCCTGCCAGGATGCATGCTGTGATCATGGTGCATGGCAAGGGTGGTCAGGGAGAGGATATGATTAGCAGATGGTGAACCTGTGAGCTGTGAGAATTGGACCCAGGAGAAAATGACAGAATAACCCTCAAAACAGGGCCTTTCTCTCCGCTCAGATTGTAGAAAGTGCTCCAACCCAAATGCTGTATCTTAAGTAAAGTGGTGACAGTCGTCCTCACCTCTTGGGAAGTCAAGGAGTATCCTGTGGTGATGTGATGACACCAGGATCGTACAGAGCCATCATTGTACCGGGCCCAACTGATGTACACAGAATGTACAGTCACCTGTTCTGGGCTTCCTAGTGACGTTTTCATAAGCTTGTATACAAGTGCCTTGTCCTAAATAAGTCATTGCTAAGAATGACCAGTATAAGTATCTTCATGTAGTTCTGTTTCCTGCGTCTTCAAAATTTATTTTTGAAGATTTACTTATTTGAAGATTTACTTATTTGAAAGATTTACTTATTTGATTTACTTATTGAAAGAGAATGAGAGAGAGAGAGAGAGATCGTCCATCTGCTGGTCCATGCCCCACATGCCTGTAAAAGGCCAGGCTGAACTTGATAAACACCAGGAGCCAGTCCTCCATCTCCATCTCCCATTGGAGTGCCAGAACTACCACACATACTGCCTGCCCAGACACGTTAACAGAGCTGAATTGGAAAGAGTGGCCAGACTTGAACCAATGTCCGACACGGAGTGCAAATGTCACAAGTGGTAGCTTTGGTGGCTTAACCCACCATGCCGTAACAACCACGCTTCACGTGTCTTTATTAGTCCCAACAGGCTGTGCTTTGCTGTTGATGGCAGCCACCAGGTTTGCCGAATGGCTCAGGGCCTATGACTGAAGTTTGCATCTCCCAGTCCGTAGCAGTGCCCAGAGGAAAAGCAGCTGTCTTTTTTGCCCCTTTGGGCCTTTGGTTCTTAACCAGCATAAATGCTCACTCAAGTGTTTAGGCCACTGGTACAGAATAAAACCAGAAGCTCCATCCTAACCTGCGGACAGGTGGCTCCTCCACTGCTGTTCCGTGAAGACGGCATAGAAGGTTTTCTTCTGGGGAAGGCTCCCAAATAAACAAGGGTCACTCAACTTTTAATGCTGAATCTCCATAATTAATGTTAACATAAAACATTAAGTAGCATGATATTGCTCAGGTCTGCATTTAAATCTAGCATTTCTCCATTTAGACAACAGCACACCATAGAACATAGTTCTGATAGCAGTGGATTTGGCTGGGTGTTCTCTTTCTGGGATTCAAAGGAAAATACCGCATGCAGTTTGCAGGACCTGTGCATCTTCATACAATGTGTGCTCAGGCCAATTGCCTCCAAGTAGTATTGGGCACTTCTGTTCTCTGTGAGTCTTGCTTTGAAAGTACATCAGGCATGAGACTCTGAAAGCACTCTGTCGCTCTCTGAGACTTCGGAAATGCTAGACAGTGACAGTTTTGAACTGTCATCTGTTTTACAAATGAACAGGACATTACTTTGCCCTTTTTTTCTCTGGTAGCATTTGTGTTCCATTCCCAGGAAGTGATCATCAGCCTCTCTTGTTTAATGCCCAGAGTGAGGGTTCTTTGGGATCAAGTCTCCAAGGCCCTTGCAGACTGCTTCCTCCTTGCTTTCCTATCGTGGGCCTTTGCTGCAGTCCCCCAGGGATGGCAGGCGGGGGCGCTGCAAGCAGGGCGCGGTGAACAGGGCAGCGTAAGAGCACCTGTGCCCCAAGTGCCCAGGGGTTAAAATGAACTTGCAGTTCCTTGGTTTTCTGTCTTTTGTGGATCTCAAGCTGCAGCTGTGACCCCAGAGTAGTGGAGGTGGCTGTGACATCCGTCTCACCCTTGTTCTTTGCAGATATTTTCGGGTTGCTGTGCTGCCCTCCTCAGCCGATGTCAGCTGTCTCTTTCGGACCAAAGTCCACCCGCCCATGGAGGCCGTGTTGTTTGGCGACATGTTCCGAGTGGCCATTTCCCAAGCCACCTTACAGCAGAAGACACTACGAGTTGATCTTTGCTTGGTGCGGAAGCACTGGCGGGAGGAGTGCCTGGTGGGTGACTGTGGCAACGCCCTCCACTGGACCCCAGGGGGCGGGCAGTGGGAGAGTGTGTGTCCTAGCAGTCTTGTGACCAGCACCAAACGTCCAAGAAACCACAGGAGGCATAACCAGAGGCTCATTGGCTTGTGTTCTGAAGTATAGCTTTCTGTCATTCATTCTCTTATTCCAGTTTTTTAAATCTGCTTATGGATTGTGACTGCCTGTAAATTCTGCTTTCTGTTCTTACCCTCTGACTGCAGAATAACATCAGCCTCTGTTGTGGCTGTTGCACATAGAGCATGTTATTTGTGCCCAGTGCCAAGCCCTGGGCTGAGTGCTCTTGTGTCCTTGGTTAGGACAGAGTGATTAGGAAAGTCATGATTATCTCCTCATCAGAGCTTAGAGTGGTGACCTTCCCAGGGTCGCACAGCCGGTAAGTGCTGGAATGACATGCAGAAGCCTTCCCCCCACACGAGTCGGTGAGTCCAGATTTCTTTAGTTGCAGCAGTGCACCGAGTCTATACTTCGCTTATTCAGCTCGTTCTCCCCACCATGGTATTGGAACCTTCAGGAAGATGCTGACCTCAACTGGGGACTGCAGAGGGGACCTCAACCGGAGGCACGCGCTGTGTCTGAACACTTGGGTGTTCAGATCCGGGTGTCCACGGCATACCAAGTGTTCAGACACAGCGTGTGCCTCCGGTTGAAGTCCCCTCTGCAGTCCCCTGAAAGTACAGAAGCACAGCTGTCTCATGATGAACAAAGTTGAAAACAGTGATAGGTTTATTCTTAATTTTTTTGCCTTGTAAAATAAAACATTTGATAATATCTAACAATAAAGAAAATTAGCAACATAGATAACAGACTTTTTAGGCTACTAGGAAGTCTTTAGTAGATGTCATATCAGAAGACCCAATATAGTTAACAAATACATTAATTCACTTATTTTCAGAAATATTATAGTTTAATTTAGGTTCTGGCTATATGTAAAAGCCTTTTACCATAACCTTTTCTGGACTTTATAACCTGCCTAGTTGCCAGACAAAAAATTTTGCTTTTTGATTCTCATTCAAGAGCCAAAGTGGCATTTTAATTTGTCTTAAAGTTTTTCAATACATAATGAATTCTTTGTGAGCAATAAGTAACTTTTATGGCATATTACAAGAAGATGCCATAGTTTAAGATTGTGGACTATTTTGTACCTTATTTAAAAATAATTACACATTTACCAAAAAAAAAAAAAAAGCACAGATTGCCACCTTGTCATTAGGTATTGGCAAAATAATATCACAGTAGCTACACAAGACTGACCTTGGCCTTGGGATTGCTCTTACTTAGACACATTGAAAACACAGTGCATCTCTGGGCGTGGAGGAAAATCCCTTAGCATGGTAGATCGTGAGTTATTATGTGGGCTTTTTTTTTTTTACCCTAAAATAAGCTCACTTATTACTCTTGGTTCTGTCATAAAGAACAAATGGCAATTTGACATTTTTGTTTCTCTCTTTCTCTGTCTGTGTGTGTGGTCTTTGCTTTTTTTCTTTTTTTTTTCTTTTTTTTCTTTTCTTTTTTTCTTCACATAGGCTGGAACTCAGATCAGCCTGGCAGATCTACCATTTTCCAATGAGGTTTTCACTCTGTGGTATAACTTGCTACCTTCCAAGCAAATGTCTTGCCGACAGAATGAAGAAGAAAAAGAGGATTCTGTATTTCAACCAAGTCAGCCATTAGGAGACTCCATAGACCTGGTAAGTCAAAATGAGACCACAAAGCCGTTAAGATTTAATAGAGTAATGGGAAATACAGAGTGCTCTGAGGCTAAGAAGTTTTCTTTCACTTTTGCTGTCTTTCCTGTTTCCCTTTCATAGCTTTATCCTCTTCTCAGCCTCATAAACACACACACACACAAGAAAGACAGTTGCCAGCTTTGTTTCAACTAAGATTCATAGAAAGATCATGCTTCTCCCATGACAGGTATCTGATGTGGAGGTTTCACTGCCTCCAGTGGCTGTAGAAGACCTTTGAATTTAAATGCATGCTTTGATATGCTGCATTCATGTATTTGACTCTACTGTGAGGTTGTAATTTTAATCGTCTCATTTTTGCACATTTTAAATTGTTAAATGTAAACAATGTGTATCTTCTCCTGTTTTTAAATTTGCTTTGTTTTTTAGTGATTTTGTTTGTTTTGAAAGGTTTTGGCCATGGCTGGGTGGGGAGAGATGGATCTTGTATTCACTCCTTAGTCCCCAGATGGCCACAGCAGCAGGTCTGGACTAGAGCAAAGCCAGGAGCCAGGAGCTTCATCTGGGTCTCCCATGTGGGTAGCCAGGGCCCAAACAATTGGGCCATCTTCTGCTGCGTCACACATACAGCAGCCTGGACATGAGCTGGTACCCAAGTGGGATGCCAGCATCACAGGCTGTAGCTTTACCTACTACACCATAATGCCCAGGCTCCTCATTTTCCATTTGCAACATCAGTATCCTGAAGTATTTCCTGTTAAAATGTCTGTTGTCGCCAGCAGCCATACTTTGATACCCCAGAACTTTGAAGAGGGCCTTCCTGTAAGGCTGTTCATCACTGATTTGGCATCTGTAGGTGTTGCTACTGAGGTCAAGTTTATTTTAGATGATCTGTGAGGAATGATTAAGCAGCTGATCATTTACCATGTACAGGGAACTCTAGGACAACAGACACAGTGCTATGCTACTTTCTCAGGCTTGCTTTTGTAACTGTCGCTCTCTGCGAGGTATGTGGTACTACTCACCCACCCAAAGTGGGAGGTCCAGTGGATTGGAGCATTTTAAAACTCATCAGGGCTCAAAAGGCTAATCCTTCATCTTCAAATGCCAGCATTCCATATCACACTGGTTCAAATTGCAGCTGTTCCATTTCCCATCCAGCTCCCTGCTTGTGGCCTGGGAGAGCAACGGAGGACAGCCCAAAGTCGTGGGGCCCTGCACCTGCGTGGGTGACCCAGAAGGAGCTCCTAGCTCCTGACTTTGGATTGGCTCAGCTCCAGCTTTTATGGCCAGCTAGGGAGTGAACCAGCGAACAGAAAATCTTTCTGTCTGTCTCTCCTTCTCTCTGGAAGATGCCTTTCTAATAAAAATAAATAAATATTTTTTAGAAAACACTGTCATCGTCCCACAGAGCAGCCCTGCTCCATAAGCACTCCCTCCCATCCCTCTGAGGTGACCACTACTCTGTCTCTGTCTCTGTCAGTTTGCTTATTCTGGAGATTTTGTACATGTAATACTCTCTTTTGTGACTGTTTTCTTTCGGGTAGCATGGATTTTCAAGTACAGCAATACCAGTATTTCATTCCCAAATAATATTCTGTTGTGAAGTACCATGCTTTGTTTATTCATCAGCTGATGAGCATTTGAGCTGTTTCCATGTTTTCACTATTTTAAATAATGCTGGTAGGAACATTTGTGCACAGGCCTTCAGGTGAACAAATTTGCATTTCTGTCAGATAAACTTGTATACCTAGGAATGGAATTGCTGGGTCATGTGATAACTCTGATCAATATCTTAATGGCTACAAATCACATTTCTTGATACATGAGCTTTATGTCTTTGTATTCCTGAGTTATGAGCTTTTACAGCACAGAAGTTTCTAATTTGGATAAAAGGCCCGTGTACCTGTTTTTTCCTGTTTTGATGTGGTGTCTAAGAAGAGTTTGCCTAACCTAACATCACAAAGACTTGGCCTGTCTTCTTCTAAGAGTCTTGTGTTTAGCTCCCGGTTCTGTCTTGGTGTGAATGTGCGATGGCGAGGAGAGCATCTGGTGTCATCCCTTTGTCCGCAGAGATGCAGCTGTTCCCGCTCCTTTCCTTGAACAAACTGCGCTTTCCCCTTTGAATTATCTTGGCACCCTGTCAGCCTAGCATCTATCCCACAGAGACAAGTGTGGGAGTTTGGAGATCTGAGCTCCCAGTTACGTCCCATCTTCTGTATCATTGTACCTGGCTGCCTTGATCACCGAAGATTTGTAGGCATGTAGAAATAAAGGAAGTGATAATCCTCTAGTTCTGCTTCTCGTTTTCCAGATTGTTTAGTCTACTTGGGCTGCCTAACATTTCCAAATGAATTTTAGTATCAGTGTGTTAATTTCTGGAGGCAAAAAAAGTGACAGCTAGGATCTTGAAAGGAATACTACTGAATCTAGGTCTGTGCGGGGCTGTTTTCATCTTACCTGTTGCAAATCTTGTCCTGTGAGTTCTGGGTTGATTTCTATTTATATAGGTCTTAGTTTCTTTTAACAATGCTTTACAGCTCAAGCTCCCATTTGTTTTGTTAAAGCTAGTCTCTAAGTGTTTTATTCTTCTTGATAAATATTGTAGATAGAATTGTTTTCTTCATAGCGTTTTTTATTGCTCATTGCCCAAATGAGTTTTGTTTGTCTCTTGTATCCTGCAACCTTGATAAACGTGTTTAATTGTAACAGTTCAGTAGTGGATTCCTTAGCATTTTCTCTATAGAAGATCATATCTCTTGTGGGTAATCTTGTTCCTTCCCAATTGAATGCCTTTTAAAATTTTTCTTGCTCATTTTCTCTAGCTAGAACATTTAACACAGCAATGAAGGAGGTGTGAGACCAGACATTTTTATCATGTGTGTGATCTTAGGAGACTTGTTCATTGTTAAGCATGATTTTTTTTTTATTTGCAAGGCAGAGTTAGAGATTTTTCTCCATCATATGTTAATTTACCAATTTCTACTCCTTGCTTTGCTTTCATCAGGTTTAGTTTGCTGCCCTCAATTTTGGGATGCATACCTACATAGTTGATTTACAGTCTACTTTTCCAACATTTTAAGTTTATAAAATAGCTTTAAGCACAGATTTGGCTGCTTTTCACAAACTGTGTGATATAACATTACGAATTCTAATGTTCATTGTGACTTCCTTTTTTGGCCTGAAGAGCTTTTCTAGACATGCATTTGCTTAGGTACCAAGCAGTTGAGAGTTTTAGAGTTCTGTTATGCATTTCTTGTTTTCTTCTATTGCTTTCAAAAACTAGGGTACATACTATTTAGTTATAAAAATATTAAGACTTGCCTATGGCTTAACATGTGGTAGCTTTTTTGGTAAATATTTCAGTTCTTTAAAAGAAAAGTATACTTTGCAAACAAACTTTGCTTTATTTTTGAATTTTCTACCTTGACTGTATTTCTAATTTGCCTCTTTTAGTATTAATTGAGAGGCATATTAGAACTTCACTAATTTTTTATTTAAAGTAAGTCTTTCTCTTTTTAGTTCTTTAGTCTTCACTTTAGTATATGTGCTATTAAAGTAAGCACTGATCTTTGCTTTTTATGTCTGTGATACTAGGTGATTATAAATAGTAGTTTGTTGTGGTGTTCTATTTATGTCATCTTTTATCATGAGATATTTCATTTATCTTTAGTAACACCTCTTGTTTTGAAAGTAGGACTGCTGGTATTAGAATAGATAGATAGATAGATAGATAGATAGATAGATAGATAGATAGATAGATGCTAGTGCTTGCATAATTTACTTTTCCATCCTTTTGCTTTCAGCCATTTTGAGTTCTTAATTTTTTATTGTATGTATTTACTTTTCAGTATATTGAAAGGCAGAAAGACAATCAGCTGGATGTGTAAGTTGTCTTCTGATGTGTTTCTCACTGTTTCTTGGAGTATATGAGGTTAAATGGCACATTTTTCACGTTCTCCAGGATGCAGTGTCAGCCTTATTGGCAAGAACATCAGCTGAGCTGTTGGCTGTAGAACAAGAGTTAGCACAAGAAGAGGAGGAGGAACCAGAGCGAGAAGAACGAAGGGGTCCAGATGGCGACTGGTAAATCCATCCTCTCCTTCTGTAGGGAACTTAACCAGAGTGTGGTTAGTTTCTCTGATGCAATTTCCAGTGAATCAGTTCTTTGTCAGTTCCTATCCTGCTCTGGAATCCTGGGAAGCAGCACAGCTGTAGTGAGCTGCAACTGAGGGGAAAGTCTCTGCTTGGTCACTAGACTGTCGAAGAAGTTAGTGACAAGATGTGGGAAAAGTTTAACGTATCAGCCACATTCTTTGTTCTTGCTTCAAGTAATTACACTGTTTTCACAGCATTTTTAAAATTTAAACTATTAGTTTTGAAAGATGTAGTAGCTTCCCAGGAATGGGATGACTGGGACCTGCAACCCTATGTTTATAGCAGCGCAATTTACAAAACCTAAGACATGGAATCAAACTAGATACCGATCAACAGAGGAATAGAAAAAGAAACTACTACTAAACCATTAAAAAAAAATGAAATCCTTCTGTTTACACCAAAATGATCCACTAGAAACCATTATGCTTAGTGAAGTATGCCAGTCCCAAAAAGATAAATATAAGTTCTAAGAGAACTAATACACAAAGTACAAAGTGTGTGTGAGAGAAAGAAAGATATACACAATACAAAAGAGACCAGCATACTAGGAAGTAAAAGTAGTATAGAGAATATGAGTGCCAAATAAAAGTAGGACTGCTGGTGAAACTTACAAATATACCTTAATATTACAATGCTAGGTTTTCTACCATGAGCTGAACTACTCCTGGAGTGTAGCTGCTTGACTTAACGCATGTTGCATTTCTCTCACCGTAGGCTGATGCTGCTAAGAGAGCCCGCCAACGAAATGGTGGCTGAAAATGAGGCTGACGTTAAGTTGCTAAAGGGCAGTAGCTGTACAGAAGACTCAACTTCATGCATGCACATTCCAGGGATGAATGAGGATGGGAGCAGGAAAGGAAACAACTGTGCCAAAGACTTGGGAAGTCAGACACGTCCTGGCACCCCCATGCTGGTGGGTATCCAGCTGTGCACATCTGAAACACGTGTCCCGCAGGCATCACATAGACCACCCAGAGGCTGTTTATCTCCCCAGGTTAGGGTTTTGTCCATGTTAGGGTTTTGTGCCGGATGCTGGTCATCAGTAATGGAAATTAGCTGTAGGAAATATTGTAAATGCTTTAAAAGTTTTTAATGTGCTCCAAATACTAATTTTCCGCTAATGTGTGATCTAAGAATAATACTAGCAATTTTAGATCTTTTAAGTGTTTTGTGAATATTTATCCAAAGTATTCTCTAAATTTTTTGACTAATAGACTGACTAACTTAATTGTATGTATATGTGAGTTTCCTTTAATTGCAAACGTGGGTAAGCATTTAAAAAGTTTCTCTGGTTAGATGGGATTCTGAATGAAATCTCTAGAAAGTGGCAGCTGACTCAGTCTAGGCAAAGGTAACTTTGCTAATGCAGTGAAGCAAGGATGCTATCCCCTAATGCAGAAAAGCATTTTACCCTTTGAAGATACGGGCACACTTGTGATGTTGGTAATAAGGTTTGGAAAATTATGTTTACTCCTGAGAAAAGAATGCACCCAGACAGAGCGCATGCTTTTACAAAGGCACAAACTAGCAGAGATGGACAGCTTCAGAGTCAAGGTAAAACTAAGATTAAAGAGTGGATGTATGCCCCAGGCTGTGTAGTCTGTGTTCTGAGAAACTCCTGCTGTTACTTAAATTTTAACTTTTGTTACATTCCCAAAGATGCAGTCGCAAATCCAGATTCAGCTGCACCGTACTTGTTACATTCGTATATGTGTGACTGCCTGTTCATTTTTAAATGTAATTTGTTTCCACATTTTGTTATCTTTATCATTTATTCTGAAACAAATCCCAAGTAAGATGCATTGTAGAGCCTCCTTGAGTCCAAACCTTCATTTTGGAGAGGCGCTCACATTTATGGACAACTTTATTCTGCTAGCTGCTGTCAGCAGCTTGCTGAGAGCTCAATGGAAAACCTTTCCCCTCCGTTGCCCTTCACCATTCCTGCTGCCCAAAGCCTTGCTCCTCGGGTTACCACTAGTTAGACGAGTCTGCAACGCAGTGTAGCTGGGCTTTCCCTACTTCAGCTCCTGAAAAATAGCCAACTTCCCTTGTAGGTGGATAAGGAGACGAACACGGATGAAGCAGTTAGTGAAGGGGTGGCAGTTCGACCCAAAGACCGAAGCAGCCTGGGCTCAAGACAGCCGCCCTTCGCGCGGAGCAGCGTGATAGTTCGCTCGCAGACTTTCTCGCCAGGCCAGCGGAGCCAGTACGTCTGCAGGGTAAGGCCCCAGGACCTAGGCGCCTCTCGGGAGGTGTGGCCTGTCAGTGATGGCGCAGTGCGACGGCATAGGAAACAGTGTTCTCACTGAGGTGCTACTGCTCAGAAACTACACAGTGCACAGGATTGTCCACTCCTGTGGTTCCTCCTAATTTGTTCTGGTGCCCCGTGCCCCTTTCTCATTATTTGCAATGTGACTTACCCAAAAAGTAAGTGAAGTGTGAGGATCTGTCTGTCAAATGTATTTTGGGTGTTAGTCTGTGTTTGAGAACACAATGTGACTTTGAGGTCAGGTGCTTTGTGTCTTATCTGCTCTGTGTATTATGCACACCCCAAATCATGTTAGTGTTTCAGAACTGAAACTTGTGAGTTGGATTTAAAAACCAAAGTCATTGCTTGGTCATGCCCCTAGACTACAGAATCTGTGACAGGAATTCTGGGATTTGCATCAGTTTATCAGATTCTATCTTCAAAAGTGTGTTTGATTTATAGTCAGATTTAGCATTCTGGAATGAGTGGAAGTACTTTCAAGCTTCTTCATATGTTCAGTATTTGTGCAGGCTTCCTGGACACTTGAGTTTCACCTAAAAACAAAGGAACACAGAGCCCCGCCCTTGCAGGGCTTTAGTTCTTGTGCATCAGAGCAGATTGCTAACAGTGAATATGAAGGATGGGCTGTGTGGGGGCTTGGGTGGGGGTCACTGCCGTAGCAGATGAAGGGGGTGGGAGTGGCAAGTACAGTGTGGCTTATTGCTGACATTTCACAAAGCCCTGCAGTGGGTGAGCATGGTTTGTGCTGTAAGAATGCTAAATGGTACCACCTACGTCTTGACTCTGACCTTGAGCTCTATACATGTTGCAGACCTTTAAAAAAATGAATACTGGAGAACATGTGTCTAGCACTTCAGAAGCCTGAGTCTCGTGTTGGAGAGCTGGGTTGCGTGCCTGCCTCTGGCCCCAGCTTGCTGCTGCCGGCCACAGGGCCTGGTGGATGCCTGCTGCCCACATGGAGCTGCATTGTAGCTCTCACTTCTGACTTCAGCTTTAGCTTCGGCCCAGCTCCAACCATCGGGCATTTCAGGGATAAAACAGCAAATGGGAAGTCTCAGTCAGTCTCTCTGTCAAATGAGCAAATTTTAAAACTGTAAAACTAAATAAAGCATTTTAATGAAAAAAAAAGTTTAATTACTTTAATATTTTTAAACTGTAGCCAGAATTTGGGTGTATTACATTTTTAAAAGATTCATTTATTCTATTTATTTGAAAGAGTTACAGAGAGAGAGGGTGAGCCAGACAGAGAGAGACAGAGATCTTCTATCTGCCTTTTCACTCATCAGATGGCCACAGTGGCCAGAGCTAGACCAGGCCAGAGCCAGGAGCTTCATCCAGGTCCCTCATGTGGGTGGCAGGGATCCAGCCACTTGGGTCACCTTCCATTGCTTTTCTGAGGCCATTAGCAGGGAGCTAGATTGGAAGTGCAACAGCCAAGAGGGGAACCAGCACCCATAAGGCCTGCTGGAGTCACAGGCATGGATTTATACTCTGTGACACAGTATTGGCTTCAAAAATTAAGTTGCTAGTTAAAACAAAAACAGAACAGAGGAAAACTTGTTTGGGAAGAATTTTCTTAAATAAATTGATACTATCACTAGATGCTGTATTTGATGAGTTTCTTAATTCTGTAAAGTCAAACGGCACTATCTTTTGCAGTTATTTTTTTTAATCTTTTGTTTCCAGTTAAATCGAAGTGACAGTGACAGTTCAACCTTGGCTAAAAAATCCCTCTTTGTGAGAAACTCCACCGAACGGCGCAGTCTGAGAGTCAAAAGGGTATGTATATATCTCATTCTCCTAGAACCTGGAGTGGCAAAGCACAGGCTCCAAAACTGTGGCATGTCAGTGCTCCATGCTTGTGAGCAGCCACACAAAGCCACGGTGATTGCAGAGTTGCAGCTGTTCTGCCTGCGGTGGGGTCAGAAGACAAGCTAGAACCCTCATGCTGCTCTGGCCTGGAGCCCGCAGTGCTGCAGATCTAAAGCAGCAGGCCATGTCTCCAGAGCAGACAACCTGCTGAGCTCTGGGTGACTGCTGTGGCTCCCTGGGCACCAGGCTGTCACGTGACGGCAAGAATCCAAAACCCAAGACCTTTCCTGAGGAACGAATATTCAGGATACAGAGGGAGCAAGAGCTTTATAACTTGCTTGAGCAGGTGTGTGCAGATGTTGCTTGAAGCTAGAGATCTGTAGGTGAGCTTTAAGGGTAAGTCAGGGAGAAGTTTGAACAAATTAACAAGTAGTTCAAAATGTCCATTTACTCTCTGACAGCTGAGATACTGACAGAAAGTTCTTTGCTTAGTGTTACCCTCCTGGCTTCGTGTGCCAAGCACCTGCAGTAGCATTCTTGCCTTCACAAGTCTGCAGTCTCAAGGAGGAAAGGACCCAGGCCCATGCTGGGCCAGCCGGGAAGGAGGTTCACCTAGTTAGGGAAGAGTGGCCTCCACGCCCACACGCAACTTCCTCTGCAGTGGGAGCCTTAGCCCAGCAGGGTGGGAGTGAGGATAACAGATGCTGACTGGCCTTACCACACTGGCAGGAGAACCCCAAGAAGTGCCAAGTGGCCAGGTCAGGCCAGCACTGTGGCACAGGGGACCAGAAGGTCAGACACCAAGCCGGGGAGGTCAGCCTCTCTTTATCCATCAGTGATGCTACCAGATGCAGACTGAGCTGTGTGGCCAGGCAACATCCGACTCCCTTGGCATCACTTCCTATTTAGTTGGAGGTAACAGAAGCAGGTTTCTCATTTCTAAAGGCGATGTGCTGGCTTGTGTGTAGCATTCAGCAGGCTCAGGAAGTATGTGGGACCAAAGTGCTTTGGTCTTTCAGAATACCAAACTTTGTGCTTTTTAAGTACCTCAGTTCCCTTGGTGTTTTTTGTTTTGTTTTGTTTTGTTTTGTTTTGTTTTGTTTTGTTTTGTTTTGGTGGGGCGCGGGAGATGCATTTTGTCTTTGGTTTATTTTTCAGTCAGTTTTGTGGGACTGCACAGCCTCTGCCACAGGGGATGTCCTTGATAAACAACCTGGGTGAGAGTGCCAAGTTCAGAACCCATGAAAACACCAACAGCAGGAGAAAGCCAGCAACCACAGGTTTACAGGACCAGTGGAGAATCCGTACAAGCATAGCCTGCTGTCCCCAAGCTGGGAATGTATTTGGAGCTGCCTGGGGAAGAAGGAGGCGCCGACCTAGGCTGCTAGACCACAGGCCAACTCTGGGGACTCCAGGGACCACAGAAGAGGATGCATTGTGCTGCAGGTCGTCCACTTCCAAGTCAGGGCCACATCTCACATGTCAGCTGACAAGGAGTTGCGGGCTCAGGCTCAGCATGCACCTTACTGACTGGGCCCCGGGCACCAGCACTGGCACCCTCTGTGGTGCCCTTGGCCAGGGCAGTGCACAGAGGCCTAAGATCAGGCTGGAGGGAATTCCCTTCCTCCTGACACAAGATTCCTCCTGGCTGCTTTCTTAATCTCTGACCTTCATCAGCAGCACATTCTTTGCCAGGATGGTAGCACTCCTCGGAGAAGCTTTTCCCAGATGTGTGGATGACACACATGGAACTGGAAAACAGTTGGGCAATGTAACTGTTAGCCTTACCAGAGCCAAACAAAGGATGATACTAAAACATTGTGGACAGGATGGTTTTCAAAGTAATCCAGTTTAGTTTGATAAGAAGTGTATAAGAAGTGTATGAAGCGTTCTCATGTAGGCACTGCAGCATGACAAGGCTATGTAGGGAAACAGAGGCCTCGACAGAGTTTTACCTGCCAAGAAAAACCACGTGGCAGATGTGAGAGTTGTGGGGTAGGAGGGCTGCTCGCTGGCACAGGAGCCGGTCATGTGTGCTTCTTGCCAGTCCGATGCCATCATGTTGATAGCTTGGAAGACAGGTGCAGTGGTGTTTATACATAGGAATCTGCAAGCCCTGTCTGTTACTGCTCTCCTCTTCCTCCCACAGAGGGCTGGTTGTTAAACAGACCACTGCACAGGGAGCCCTTGGAAAGACTCCACACACGTATCAACCAGAAAAGATTTCTGATTCTGAGAAGTTGGCTCATGCAGTCAAAGCAGATATATGTAGAGGTGATTCCTGCTATGTAATAGATCTGTCGTTAGTCAGAGGGAGCAGAGGTTGACTAAAGGAAACATAGTAGTAGGGATGTTAGAGAAGCCCAGCATGTAAATCTTTAGTGAGAGTGCAGTACAGAAATGCATTAAGCAAGGGAGAGAGGGATGTGGGTGGACAGTCCGCGCAGGCTGTGAAGGATGAACAGATGGGCCTCTGCCATGCATGTGTCATGAGTACTGCCTTCATTCCAGGTCTTCAAACTAGAGCCAAATCAAGTTGGATTCCCTCCTCTCTCCCATCGTCAGTACTAGTTCTTACTGGTGACCTCTTGGTAGTCCCATAGCCAGCAAGCTAGGTGAGCAGTGACCTCTCCATTCCCTTCAGCCCAGGCGGTCTTACTCAGCCAAATTTGATCTCTATTCCTCCAGTGGCTGACCCAGGCCTGAATGATCAGGCCTTTCCCCATCTCCCTGTAGTTCTGAGGGCACTGATTGAGTTTCCTGTCACTGCCACCTCATCCACTCCTCCAGTCAGAGTGCTCAGGGTCTGTCATTGTGTCTTCTCTCCTAGCCTGCACCTGCAGACCCTCAGCAGCCATTTACTCAGACCTAGTCAACAAGTGTCAGTTGGAAAATGGGGCAGCCCAGCCCTGTGAGCATCAGTGGGGAGGCAGGGGCGGGTTGATCAGAGGAGAAATACTCCCTGCATCATTTTAGGCCTCAGAGATCACGAGTTCTTCCCAGTGCAGCTCAGGGTAGCCTGATTAACTGAGAACTGCCTATGAGAAAAACACACATTTTGATGAGAAAAAAAAAATGTGCTCATGAAGAGAAATGTCCATTCCCCCATCTCAGGAGTGTGACTGTTCCCACAGCCCCCACCTTCAGCATCCTGTCCTTAATCACTGGCTCCACACAGCCGCCCAGTGTGGGCCAGATTCCCATGCCCTCCTCGGACTAACTCCTGACTCCCCACTGCTGCCCCATTTCCAATTGACACCTGTTGAATAGGTCTGAGTAAATGACTGCTGAGTGTCTGTAGGTGTGGGGCTAGGGGAGATGATCAGCCAGCCCCATCACATATTCCCTCAGGAGACCCATGTTGAAGCAGCTGCCATTTGCAGGTCTTTGGTGTCTTGCTTGCACAGGAATGTACATACCTCAAGTGGGTGTGGCTGCCTCCATCCTTCCCATTTGCCTTTAATTGGCCAGAGTTATTCCCTGGAACAGTTAAGCCCATGTGTCTGTGTGTCTGGGGATAAAGTAGGAAGTGCAGTCCCGTAGTGGGGCCAGCGAGCAAGGAGAACAGAACCTGAGAGCGGTATTGATGTTGTGCTTGCTACCCCTGCAGACGGTGTGCCAGCCATCCCTCCGAAGGGCAGCCCAGGAGTGCCCCGTGCGAACCTCCCTAGACTTGGAACTGGACCTGCAGGCGTCTCGCACCCGGCAGAGCCGCCTCAACGACGAGCTGCAGGCCCTCCGGGGCTTGCGGCAGAAGCTGGAAGAGCTGAAAGCTCAGGGAGAGACCGACCTGCCACCAGGGGTGCTGGAGGATGAGAGGTTCCAGAAGCTCCTGAAACAGGCCGAGAAGCAGGTACAGACCTTGGCATTGCTGTCACCACCAGGGCAAGGGTGTCCGGCTACCACCTCGGTTGGGCTCACAGATGAAGGCAGGGTTCCTACCTGCTGCCTCACTTCCTAAGCGCCTGTAGCAGGCAGCACTGGGTTGGAACCGGGAACTCAGTCAAATTTTGATGTCTGAGTGGCAGCAAGCTAACCATTTGCGCCATCACCCACTACCTCCCAGGGTTTGCATTTGCAGGAAACTGGAACCTGAATGCAGCCGAGTCTCAAATCCACATTTGTCTTAACTGGCATCTTAACCAAGAGGCCAGACACCCATCCCCATGATTCTACTTCAACTTCCTTAGATTCAAAGAGAAGCTTATTTCTAACTGACTTCTTTCCCCAAATTTTTTGTAGTTTTGTAGTTTATGAAGCTATAGGGAAAGATTAAATAGTTTTATCAAACTAGTAGGCTGTCATTGACCAATCCTGGATAGAATTTGGAAACATACGTGAATGTCACCATTAAACTGATAGCCAGTAATTTTTACAGAAACTTTCAGCAGCAAAGCAGATCTGCGAGTGGGTGTGTCACGTGGGACACCCCTCTCGGAGTGCCTGGATTTCAGTCCTGTCTCTGCTCCCACATCCTGCCTCCTTACCAGTCTGCACCCTGGGAAGCAGCAGTGATGGCTCAAGTGATTGATTCCCTGCCATCCATGTGGGGAACACAGATTGCCGTGGCCCTCTCTGCCCCGCCTACCTACCCCCATACTTCCATATTTCTACATTTCAGATGAATTTGTAAGTAATAATAGATCAAACCTATTGTCTGAGTGTCATATCCCACCTGATAGGACCTCAGTCTGTGTTAGTTCAGCGCATTGAATTGTAAGCCTTGCGGTGGCACTCTGGTGAATACCAGAATGAGGCAATGCAGTGGTAGAGGAGATAACAAGGTTCTCAAGACAGATTACTCTTTGAGGAAATTAGGAGCGGGCCCATGGAGAAGGTGCTGAACTTGGTCTTGAAAGCAAGAAGTCAGGCCCATATTGTAGTGGGTTAAGCCACCACCTGCAATGCCAGTATCCCATATGGATACTGTTTGAGTCCTGGCAGTTCCACCTCTTATCCAGCTCCCTGCTAATGCATCTAGGAAAGCAGCAGCAGATGTCACCCAAGGGGAACACCCTGGCTTCCTCCTGGCCCCAGCTGTTGTAGCTATTTTGGGAGTGACTCAGTGTGTAGAAGGTATTTCTGTCTCTCTAGCTCTACCTTTCAGATAAAATATTTAAAAAAAAAAAAATTAAAAAGCAGCAATGTTTTTAAAAATAATAATAAAAAAGAAGAATGTATGACTCTAAAAAAGCAAGCAAATAGTAAGAACTTCACCCCCAGGTGTGGCAAGATGCAGTGGGCATGCAGCACAGGAACGGAGCCGTGGGCAGGAGTCTTTACAGAGTGCAGGGCTGTGTTCATATCTGAAATAGAAACTCTGTACTAGTCATTCTTTCCATTCATGGGGGCTTCAATATTAACAGTAACTTCATGGTCTTGGAAGCCTGCACCCAACTTTAAAGTCCTCATGGTCTGTTGACCCTTGCGACTCAAAGGCGTGCAGAGCTACACCAGTACTTTCCAGCTGCAGCAAGCAGCCACAACAGCCAGAGATCTTTGGGCTTCTTGTTCCCTCTAGTGTTGTAATGTGAAACTCTACATCCTTCAATAGCCATCATGGCAAAAGTGATTGGATTCTTAAAAAAGATTTATTTTTTTAATTGGGAAGTCAGATATACAGAGAGGAGGAGAGGCAGACAGTGTCTGTTGATTCACTCCCCAAGCAGCCAAAACAGCTGGAGCTGAGCCGATCTGAAGCCAGGAGCCCAGAGCCTCTTCCAGATCTCCCACACAGGTGCAGTCACAAGCTTTGGGCCGTCCTCAACTGCTTTCCCAGGCCACAAGCAAGGATGGAGATTGCCACCAGTAGTGTTGCCTGCTTGCTCCCCCAGGACCGGGCTTTAGAATCCATGCCAACTGCATCACCCAACCTTTCAGAGAGGAGGACAAAGCACCTGTTCTCTGTGTGTGTGTGTGTGTAAATATGTGCCAGGCAAGTTTATGGCACACTTAGGCTTCAGTGGGGAAGCCCACAGCAGGTGCCAGAGAAGGGACAGGAAGGCAGAGACCGATGGCACTGCCATGAGGACCAGCAGACCTCGCAGAGGGCTGGTGACCGTGAGAGCAATGGAGAGGTCAAGGAATGGGAGCTGGTGTGCAGAAGTGGTAGAGGTGTCTGTGTTTTCAGGTTCCCATAACAGTTCCAGCTTAACTAAACATTGAGATGATTGAATAATGAAGGGCCACTAAACGCTGAGGACTTAATTGCTCCTGTGTAGCTCTGCCTGTACCATGACTGCTAATCCCTAGATCACAACAGTTAACACCATAAAGAGGTTCTCTTGACAGTTCAGCACAGATTCCTTGACAGGAGAGTTGAAATTCAGACCCCAAACCCTATTTTTATTAGTAATTCAGACTCCAGCTAGCCTGGTGATTCTCAGGGGAGGAGTCATTGGCACAGCTGGAGGGTCCTGCACGGAGTCCAAGTGAAACAAGAGAGATTGTGACCGCAAAGGCAGGAAGGCCACGAGTGCCTGGGGTTCCACTGCAGACATTCCTTGCTGAAATTGCTCACTTCCTCCTCTGTCTTGCCCTTTTCCTTTCACTCACCTCTCCTTCCTTTCCTACAACAAACAGTTAAAAGCTAGTCTGCTTTATAAAACCCATATAAAATATACCTGTCTGCACTTTTGTCACTTTTTTCCATGGTTTCATATGACTTCATGTACTTCCTCATCAAATGGGAGTATTGGATTCGATGGCCACCTGGATCCTTTCTTGTTGCAAAATCCTGTGATCTGGACGAGGTCACGTTTAATGTGCTTTTCGTAAAAGTGAAGATGCCAAGATTTATGGAGGCACAAGTCTATGTGGCCCAGAAGAGCCAGGCCTTCAGGGAACAGGCAGCCCCTTACTAATGCTGAGATTGGGGGCAGTGTGACCCCAGAAGCTCTTCCTATTGTGGAGCTGACTTCTCACCTCACTGTAGGAAACTGTCTTAACTGCATAGTCGATAAAGAGCAGAAATTAGACTTCAAATCCCAGACCCAGGGAAGCAGAGGGCCTTGATCCTGTGTCAGCCCACAGCCCAGGGTGGAAGGACCAGAGAGGGAGCGAACCCTCAGATGCAGATAGGAGCTGCCTCCCCATCTCTGGGGAGCCCTCAGGCCCTGCCTGTGCTGGTGGCATTTACATTTCCACCTGATGTTCGGCAGATCATTTACGCTGCAGTGCCCGGCAAACCCACTGCCCCTCCGTCTTTGCTTCCTTCTAGCTAGTGGCAGTGAAGAAAAAGTTCACAAAACAAGGAGCATTTATATCACCTTCGATGACTTGGCCTCCAGGCACAGGTGGTTTGTATTTTTATTTTTACCCACCCTGTGGTTATATCGACTCTATAAATTGCATACCTTTCTCTCTCAGCACTGAAATTTGTAATAACCAGCTCTGTGAGAACAGACTTCCAATAGTGTGCCTGTCATTATGGCCGCACAAGTTTGTGAAAACCCCTGACCTGCCTCTCCTGCTTCCTTTTCACCTCCATATCCACCTGTTCACGCTTGTGCTTGAGCAGGAAAATATATATATCACACACACACACAACTTGCACACCTGTGCTTGCACAGGCAAACACACGCACATACATATACAGGCACACCAGTGCCCACACAGGCACACACACACACACACACCAGTGCCTACACAGGCAAACACATACACATACACGCATATACACATATTCCCTCACATGTGGCCTTTTCATTTTCACCATTCCCCTGCAGTTTGGGGGATTTATGACGTTTTCAGCAAGGTGATCGTGAAGTGCCTAATGACGAGCCAAGTGCCTGCCAATTGCCATAGAAAATACGGTTGCTAGTAAAGCAGTGAGTCGAAGCCTGCAGCAGAGCCTGCATCAGCCTCTCTTGTCCAGGAAAGCTATCAGAGCTCAGGGTCACACTGCATAGCCTCATGCTTTGTGGTTAAAAGTCAGCTTTATAGCTCAGAATAAAAGCCAAGGCTTGGTTAGCATCCTCATATGTTGTACAGCTCCCTTAGGAACAGAACAAGAGGCTTCGGACTGTAAATTAACACTAGCTTGTGTTCCTTCTTTTAGGCTTTATTTGAAGAGAAAAAAAAAAAGGATAATATTTATTCAAAAGGTAGATTGACAGAGAGAGGGACGAGATGGAGGTGTGCCTAAAATCTGTATTCTCAATGGCCACAGCAGCCATGGCTGCCATCCAGGTCTGCCACCCAGGTGGCGTGAGCCCAAGCCTTGAGTGCCTGCTACTGCGTTCCCTGGCTCAGGAGTGGAACCCCTGGGGCTCGAACCTGATGTAACGGGTGACAGCTCCACTGCTGTGCTCAACACCAGCCCCGATTAAAGCTTCACACAACCGTAAGGAAACCACGTGGCCTTGTTGCATGCAGCTCATTCGGCCCTCACGGAAACCAAATGACAGTCACAGACTCGGGAGTCTAGACCTAAGAAGTAGCTTCTGGTCCTCGTGAACCAGTGGTCACTTACTCCCCTGCTCCACTTCCTACCCAGCTCTTTGCTAATGCACCTGGGAAAGCGGTGGAGGATGGCCCTTGTGCCCAGACCCCTGCCACCCGGGTGGGAGACCTGGAAGGAGCTCCTGGCTCCTGGCTTTGGACCAGTCCAGCTCCAGCCATTGCAGCTGTGTAGGAGGTGAACTAGTGGATGGAAGATCTCTCCCTTTCCCTCCCTCCTTCTCTTTTAAATAAATAAATAAAAATCTTTAAAAAATAAATACTATGTCAAAGATATCAATATACCTCATTCAACAAAATAAATGTCACTGATTACCATGACATTATGCACTGAGATTTAGCTACCTGCCAATTTGGTTACTGTTAACAGCTGTTAAAATTCTGTCACGTGCT